TTCCTCCGGTTCCTGGCGCGCCGCGATCCATTAAGCATGATTGTAAATAAAAGTGCTCGAGTTATGATTTAATTGCTCCACCTCAGCATGCGTATATATACATATATGTATATATGTGTGTGTGTGTGTGTGTGTGTATGTACATAAACATATTCGTGAAAGGTCCAACAAACTGGAACGGTTAAAAAGATCCGAGTCATCCGCGCGGAGTTGTACATGTCTCGAGCAAGCGAGAGAAAGACACAGAGCCGAAGGTCAAGTTTATTCGAATTCATTTATAGACCCGTGCTCCCTCCTCGTCAAGAGACGGGACAGGTGGCGGCAGCGGCGGAGCATCCTCCTGGAACGGCTCGGGCCGATTACGCCACTGAAATCGGCCCGCTCGTCAAGGCCGGCGAACGCCAGAATCCCTGAACAGTTTCGCAAGAACGGCCCAAATAACGAACTTGACGCCGTGACGCGTGGCGCCCACCCTTTCCCGATGCCCTCGATGCGAAAGACGCACTCGCGATCTCGAGGACGCTCGACCGTGTGTTATCGCTGTGCGATTCCCTTTCTCCCACGTTAAGCCGCTTTCACGCTGTTCGCGTCGGAATTGATCGGAAATATATCTCCGCGATCCGTTCTCACCGATCTGCTCTCTCTCTCTCTCTCTCTCGGCAATTCGCAGAATACTGTGCGCGTGGATCTTCGGCGCACGGAGTGCGCCGCGCGAGCGGCCGAAGAACCACGAGGAGGCGTCCCATTTTATACCGAGGCGCGGAACCGAGAGGGACAAATTCCGGCGTGGGAATAATTTTAATTGCTCGCCGAGTATTCGCGAGCTGTCGGCGAACTATGCCGCGAGTTATGCAGACCATCCATTCCCCGGCGTGTAGAGCCGACAATAACGGAAACGAACGACGACGTCGTCGGGTTTAACGTCAGCGAGGCACCACGACGGCGGGGCCGGCGAGATATACCGCAAGGATCGGGATCATAGGGGCGATCCTACCGCGCCTAGATCTCGCGGCCGGCCGGCAACTACCGGCGCTGCAAATAATTACAGCCGTCCTTACATTCCATAGCGAGGCGGGCAAACTGGTTCCGAGCGCGGCCACTTGCGCTAGTATACGGACCCGCGGAGAGGAAACTATATCTCTCAAAGTATCATAGGTGTTTTTCAGTCAGGCCGCGCATCGGCCGTGTCAACGATCGCGACCGCGACTAGTAGTCGCGTGGAAGATCATCCTCGGGGCGGTGAAATCGCCCAAGCTCTGGAATAGAGCACGCTGTTCGACATCCCCCGCTCTTCTCTCCTCCTCATTCAACGTCGTGAACTTTTTAATAGCGTCTAACGCTAATTCCTCCCCTCCCCACCCCTCTCCCTCCCCTCGTCGTGGAGCAAGACGCGGATGAGAGACTTCTCTGTTTCTTCCTGCGCTACGCTCGGCCTCGTATCGGTAGTTGTTAATCGAAACTCGTTTCAGATGGGATATCCTCGGACTTAAATTCCGAATATTCGATATCAGTTTCCAGCCGAACGGCGCTCATATAGACGCGATGTCAAATATATCGCACGATTTAGGGGGATACTCTTTTAGCGGTAGTTGACGAGCTCGATAAGCGCCGATAACGCAGAAGCGATCCTCAAAATGTTATGTCACATAAACATTGACGCACGATCACGTCGCTCTCCTCTCGTATTTCTCGTGCACGTGTGTATCTTATGTAAATGTGAGTGCGATATAAAATGTGAACGCGACGAATGTGCGCTACTTTATTTTACCGCATCTAGCAGGAAATCTGACCGAGATGTATAAAAATTGCCCCGCAAATCTTTCGTACCTTTTCAGCCTTCTAAATTTGAACTGAAAAGGTGTAAAAATGGTCTTTGAAGTTTTCCCGATTAGAGTCATCGACACATTCGACGCGAGCTAAAGGATTCCCTAATGGAAGCATTCCGTTGAAAGTATTATAAAATGGATGATAAGTGAAATGGAAGTTATCGGACAAAAAATACCGATTACATATAGAAATGAATCACATAATTTTCCTTATGAAATACAATGTGATGCTGTGAAATATAAGAAATATTAAAATATACTATTGAAAGATAATGAAAAAAATTTCGAAATATTAAATATCGTGAAATTTACTGAATATAACTGAAAACTGCGTGAGTTGTTAAAGAAAAACTGCTGAATTGTCGATTGAAGTAATTTTCTACTGAAATATCGGTGAAATAATAATGAAACGGGGTCAATTGAGAGAGATTTCCCAAATATGTTTCAACAAATTTCCATTATATTTTCGGCGAAATATTTCCATCGAGGTTTCCGTATCAGGTAAATATTTACGATAATCGACAGTCAGAGACGCCAATCTTGAAATGCGCAATCGTTTTCATCACATATTCGGCAGCGTGATTCCAGTTCATTTTTGCACGGTACTTTCACTGTGTAAAAACATTTATGATTCTGCGCCAGCCAATAAGACCTAAAAATTTCGCAGAAAGAAATCAGTATTCCGTCGATAAAGTCGTCGAGTGTGACAACCCTTTAACCGAAAAGCTCTAGCTGTGAATTAAAATCCGAGTCGTCTCTCATGAGACGAGTTTCAAGCGACAACTGTTAATACAAACTTCGGGCGGTCGAAGTCGCGGTCAAGTACCGATTTCCAATGTGAGTGCAATCGAATACCGGGTCCGAGGCATCTCTACGACGATGCGTATCTAACAAAGCTTTCGCGAATCGCATCGAGAAATCGGCATCGAGCGGATTATACTTGAAACTTCCGATCGAATTTCGTCGAGCGTCAATCACGAGAGCATCAATCAATCGAAGGATCCCCTCCTCCCTCTGCCCTTCTGCATAGAGCTCGGCGTGATGCCCGGCGAAAATGCGAATCACGTCGCGAATCTCTCCCGAGTACGCTCAAGCTGAACCGCGTACGCGCGCGCGACATTCCCGTTGTTGTTTACACACCCGGCTGCGGAAAGATTTCGCAAACAACGGAGAAACATACGTCCCCCGCGGGTGCTGAGTCCCCCCCCCGCGCCCTCTCCCTCCCCCCCGCGCGCGCAACAGCGGTCGTAGGCGCATTAATAATGTAAGTGTGCAGATGGTGTGCAGTGAGTGCGCGGCGCCGCTGACTAGGATCAATGTTCCGTTCGCGATCTATATAGCCGCTACGCGGGCCGCGCGCCGCGATATATAGGTAACGACAGAGAGCGAGAGAGAGGGGGAGAGAGAGAGAGGGAAAGAGAGAGCCGGGCTATGTGGGAAACAACACGGTTGCACACACCACTCGTCGCTCGCTCGTTCGCCTCCTCCCCCCCTTCTACTCCTGCCGCTGCACCTCCCCCTCCTCCCGCGCACGGATAATGCATTTGCGCGAATATTTTAACCAATCGTAGCGCGAAATTTCCATATGGAAATAAGTTCTCTCTCTCTCTCTCTCTCTCTTGCTCTCTTTCTCTCTTTCTCTCTCGATCGATCGATCTGAGTTTCGTCCGCGAGCTCGATTCGCGGGAAAAAGCAGCTTCTCTCCTTCGACCAGCTCGCCGGAAGAAAAAGAGCACGTGTTCCTCGCGCGTTTCCGCTCGTGAAGTTGCTCTCGCGAAATCGCATCCTTTGCACTAATCTCTCTCTCTCTCTCTCTCTTTCACTCGGTCCGAATAAGATTCAGGAGCCCGTTTTGGACAGCTTCTAACTCGGAAAACGGCGCCGTGTCGCGTCCGCTCTCGAATTTGACTTCCGATTTACGGATGTGACTGCGAATCGCCGAGGGAGTTTCTTACGTCGCGCGTTTACAATTGGAATTCGATCGCGACAAGCAGATCCTTCATCCAGAGCTGTTCTTCGATTCGGCGGCTTCGCCGGCTGTCACCGCGCGGGAGTAAACAAGCGGCATTGTCAGCGCGGAGGCTCCACGCGATTACTTCACGTTCCTCGCTTGCCGAGCGTATCTTATTCTCACGTTAGACCGTGAGACCGCACGGAGGAAAAGAAACTTCGGCCGGAACAGCAAGTTTATCAATATAGCGACGGCAAGAAAAACTTTGTTCGGACAGCGGAAAGATTTGTTAAAAGTATTAATTGCTACTTGCCGGATGTACGGACGGCGAGAATAATTCGGTTACGCCGACTAAATTTCATCGCCGTCGCAATGACGAAATGATTTTTTCCATGTAGCGAATTTCTCTGGTGTCGCTGTATTAACAAACGATTTGCTCTCCCGGCGAGACTTGTTTTCCCCGTTCCGTCACCGCCGTGGACTACGCACTCAAGGAGAAAAATGGTTTTGCAGTCATAGTAGAATCTTATCCCGAGGAATTAGCCGAGATGGATGAATGCCAATGGCAAACACTTTAATGTCGCGTTTATGTCGTAACTAATCAACGTAGGCGATAGAAAGACAGAACTTCTTCATTCCGAACTATTCGTCGAATTTAGCGAGATAATCTCTCCGTGGATCTCCCATCCGGATGCTAAGGCCGGTTTCGCATTTCTCGAATGAAGAATTAGCGCAACAGGACCGACATTTCTCGCAGATATTGCTAGAACGCTGCTGCTGCAAATAATACGTACCACAATTTTCCAGCAGATATGAAAAACAGCGATACACGTTACCTGTGACCCTTTCAGAATTCTAGCCGGACCACGGCGAAACATTTCCCCGAGCGGTGGCGGCGAGCGATTCAAGTTTCGTGTCGCGGGGCTCGCGATAGTGAAAAATCCATCCAAGTTCGCCGCACCCGTAACTGTACATATGCTCCTGATTCTGCGGATGTCTTTCCTGTTAACCGACGCGCGGTTACACGCGGAATCTCGCGTCTCGAATTCCGCGGCGCGCGCTGGTAAGCTCGTCTAAAACGGGAGAAGCTTCGAGCTTCTTGCTACGGCACCGTCGGATCTTCGTCGGAAATCGAGAATGTCGGGCATATCACACGCTGCGAAGATAAGTAGTAACGTACTTTATAAATTTATTCACATGATTTAAATAAATCAAGTATACAGTTAAGTCTCACGACACATGCGCGGACGCTCGCGCGGATCGCGGGCGCGCACATGCCTTTCGCCTTTGCGCGCGTCTCTCTCTCTCTCTCACTCTTTTTCTTTCTTCTTCTTTTTTTTTGCTTTTTTTTCTTCATTCTCGACGTCTCGTTGATTCTCCCTCTCCCACATACACACACTCTCTTTCTCTTTCTCTCTCTCTCTCTCTCTCTCAATCTCATCACACACGCGGCGAACGCAGTAGTATTTTACACGAGGCGCGGCGGCGGGGGTGGTAATGTGCGTCGAATATACATATTTACATATCGTACAAACCGCCTCCCTCTCTCTCCTGTCACCGGACAATATAAAATTACAAAAAGTCGTCTACCTAGTCGAGAATTCAGAGTCGAAGCTAGCGTCATGATTCCTATTATCGCGAGGAGTGGGGGAGGGGAGGGCGAGGACACGGGTCGAAAAATGCGACGACGACGCGTGTCAATTACGTGTATGTATATGTACAATGTACACGCGTACACCAGACGCGCACGCTGCGTAGTAGCGTATTTACACGGGGTTCGCGCGCGCAGCGTAAGTAAGTATTTACACGAAAGGTGAAATCGCCGCCGAGGGGAACGGCTCGACGATCCGCTCGTTCGTTCGCGCGCGCGTTCGCTCGCTCGCTCGCGTCTTATTGCTCGCTGAGAAGTCGTCGAGTGAAGTAAACGGAGGTGTAAACGCGGGCGACCCAGGGTGCCCCGAGCAGCCCCGCCAGCCAACTCGTCCCCGAGTCTACACTCACGATTTATCAGGGGCACCCGTAAGCGTAACGTCCTTTTTTTTTTCAGGTTCAACAAACATCGCCACCTTGATCGTGCGAACGTCTGATTTATCGTTACATGTAATCTAAATACCAACTGAATTTATCGACATTTCTTGCGTTTATTGACATGAAATTTTGACGCAAGTAAAATGTTAAATAAAGCGAAATTTCGCACAAGAGAAGCGACGTTACTCACGGGGCGCTCCCAACACCACCTGTAATCCACGTCATTGAGTGAAACGTCCGAATTAATCGTCCGGCTGAGACGAATTCTGACCCGCGAGAGACCGGAGATGTATCGATCGAGATGAAACTTTCAATTTGCAATTCGTGGCTCGAGCCGAGAGACACACCGAGAGTGTTGAATAAATGAGTCTGATGAAAAAATATTCGATTATTTCTCACTTTTCCCCACCAAGATCGTAGATCGCGACCGAGAGAGAGAAGTCGTGTGAGGAATCCCCCTCACTCTCTCTCTCTCTCTCTCTCTCGTTCTCTCGTCGAAGGGGACTCAATCGAACGTCGATGCGAACCCTGTACACCCGAGCGCGTCCTCTCTCGCGCGCGAGACGCCATTCAGAAATTCGCGTTACACCGAGGGTGCGCGCAACACGCGCAGCCGCGGCGTCGGGGGGGGGGCGAAAGTCTTATTGCGTCGAGCGGAGCAAAGGAAGACGAGGGGGAACAATAATAACAATAATGACAACAAAAGTAGAAGAAGTGAGGAACAACGACGGGTGGGAGGGGGGACGAGAGAGAAGCGTCGATCGCACACCGACGACGGACGCGAACAAGAAGAACGCGGAGAAGAAGAGAAATCGTCGCGCATCGTCGAGCCGAGCGACACGTAAGGCGACGGGGGCGTCTCCGGGGACGACGATAACGACACTCAGTTCACACTCGGTCCCTCCGTCCTCGCGACGATGTCTTTCAATTATATACACGCGTGGTCTCGCGCGGCTCGGCGCAACGGCGAGATCGAGCACAACCTTTCGAGCCACCACCGTCGCCGGTGCCGACGGTGGTATCACAGTCCCGGCTTCTCGGCAACGTCGCAATCGGAACACCGGGGGTGGTCGCGAGCAGCTAAACCAGGTAGGCCTGTCCGGAGGAGGGCGGGGGCGGCGGTGGCGGCGGTTGCTGCTGCTGCTGCTGCCTCCAGGCGGTCCTCTCGAGGGTGGAGTAGTCCGAGTCGATGGACGAGTAGATGTGTTCCGACAGCGGTCTCCTGTGGTCCTCGCCGGCCGGCGGCTCCCGGTAAGCGTGATTGACGGTCAGCCTCGGCTGGGCCGGCGAGGACGGGGGTTGCTGCAGCTGCGGTATCACCGCGCCGCAGGAGTAGGCGGGCGGCGGCGGCGGCGGGGGCGCGTGCTGCTGCATCACGAGCGCCGAGGAGGCGTCCTTGAAGAGGGCGGCGCGCTGACCGCGCAGCGTCGACGTCTTCTCGCCCGTCATCCCCCCGACGCCGCTGTCGAGCGTGTAGGTGTTGATGTTGCGCTTGTACACCAACGGCGAGGACTTGCTCTCGACGGAGACGTCGGCGTTGTTGCCGGCGCCGCCGGCCGGCGGTACCGCGTACCTCAGCCGTTCCCAGAACCTCTTCTCGCCCCAGGCGAGGACGAGGGCGGCGGTGCGCAGGTAGGGCCGCAGGTCGGGGTCGCGCTCCGCCTCGACGGCCACGTGGCCCGCCTGGACGATCACGAGCTGGGAGACGCGGCCGTGGAGCGCCTCGTGCAGGGCCGAGCGGAACTCGTAGCGCGACCACTCGGTCCGGAGGAAGTCGCGGGTCAGGACGAGGAGGACGCGCCGCGAGGCGTGCACCGCCTCGAGGACGGCGGGGGCGGGCGCGGAGGCGCGCAGCACGCAGGGCAGGTCGCGATGGTGGAGGCAGAGCCGGAGCCCGGCGCGCTCGAGCTCGACCGCGAGCGAGCGCAGGACGAAGTCCTCGTCGTTCGGGCTGTAGCAGACGTAGCAGTCGTAGGGACGGTCGACGACGTCGCAGCAGCCGCCGGCGGCGGCGGCGGCGATGGCGGTGCTCGCGGCCCCGCTCGCCGCCTTGTTGCCGGGCTTCGCCCGGAGGAAGCGCAGCCCGTACTTGGAGTAGGCCCAGGCGCCGACCGGCTCGCGGAACACGAACGCGAGCACTATGATCACGAGGAGCACGAGGATGGCGGAGAGGGTGGCGGCGACCAGCGGCAGGTAGTCCGACACCATGATGCTCTCGATCACGCCGCCCTGGGCGAAGTAGTCGGAGCAGGCGGTCTCGTTGACGTTGAGGCGACGTCGGTAGGCCGGCCGCGCGTCGCCCCCGTAGTAGCACCACACGTCCCCGGCGTCGATCACCTTGTGCGCGTTGTCCGACACCCAGGAGGAGAGCTCCTGGAGGAACTTGCAGCGGCAGGACCAGGGGTTGCCGCCGAGCGACAGCTCGACCAGTCGCGCGTTCAGGGTGACCTGCCAGACGGGGAAGGTGACCAGCCGGTTGCCGTGCAGCCGCAGGATCTCGAGGGAGCGCAGCGGCAGGAAGGTGAGGTTGCCGATGAAGCCGATCGCGTTGTTCTGCAGGTAGAGCTCGCGCAGGTGCGACAGCCGCTCGAACTCGAACCCCTTCAGCTCGCGTATGCGGTTGTCCTCGAGGTGGAGGATCTGCAGGTTGTTCAGCCCGTTGAACGTGCGGTTCTGGATCGACTCGATGCCGCTCGCGTTCACGTAGAGCACGCGCATGTTCTTACGGCCGATGAACACGTGGTTCTGCAGCTCGCGCAGCACGTTGCCGTCCAGGTAGACCTCGGTCGCGTCCATCGGTATCCTCCTTGGTATCTCCTCGGCCCGCAGACCCGAGCAGTCGACCGCGTTCGTGTTCCACGTGCGGTCGTTGTAGCACTTGCAGCCGGCCGGACAGGTCATCTCGCAGTCGCACGCGTCGAACTCGCAGCAGTGGCAGAGGGCGAAGCAGTGGGCCTCGTAGCGGCAGAGGAACTGCTCGGAGCGGGCGCTCGACGCGGTGACGATCGCGAGGCCGCGGGGCCCGGAGGTGCGGCACATCGCGTTGTCCAGGTCCATGACGCGCGGGTACTCCCGCGTCGAGGTCTGATTGTTCACCCCCGGCAGCCAGTCCATCGAGCAGTTGCAGTTGAACGGGTTGCCGCCGATGTAGAATTCCGGCAGGGGTTTGTCGTCCGGCACCTTCGTCAGCAGCAGCGACGCCAGCTCCATCGTCTCGATCATGTTCGCGTACATGTCGACCCGCGTCAGGTTCACCTTCGCGGCGAACGTGTTCGGCCGGACGGTGTTGATGTAGTTGTTGTTGATGAACAGCAGCTCCACGCTGTCCGGCACGGAGAGGGGCGCCAGCTCGGCGATGCGGTTGTGACTGGCGTCCAGGGTCTTCACCTTGGAGTCGCGGATCTTGTAGTAGTTGCCGAGGCTCTCGATGAAGTTCCCGTGGATGTCGAGCCACTTGAGATTCCCCGGTATGAAGGCGTAGTCGAACCACTCGATGTGGTTCTCCGAGAGGTTCAGCAGCAGCAGGCTGCTCACGCTGGTGAAGACGCCGTTGATGTCCGACAGGAAGTTCCCGTCGAGTCGGATCGCCTCCAGCCGCACGTTCCGCTCGAACGAGTGCCGCTCCACGTGCTGCACCTTGTTGCGGGCGAGATTCAGGATCTGCAGATTCGGCAGGTCCCAGAGCATGCCGCGCGACAGATTGCCGATGTCGTTCCCGATCAGCCGCAGCCCGGTCAGCTGGTGGAGGTTGCGGAACGAGCCGTTGTGGAACTCGCTGATGCGGTTCTCGCCGAGGTCGAGGGTCTTCAGGAAGGCGAGGTCGCGCAACGCGTCCGGCACCGCGGTCAGCTCGTTGCTGCTCAGGTCGAGCTCCTTCAGGTCGGAACAGTTGCGGAAGGCCATCGAGTCGACGCTCGCGATCGCGTTGCCGGACAGGCTCAGCCGATTCAGCACGAACAGCCCGTTGAAGAGCTGCGCGCCGACGGCGTGCAGCCGGTTGTCCGACAGCTCGAGAGTGTGCAGGTTGTACAGCGGCAGGAAGGCGTTGCTCTCGATGCGATCGATCGAGTTGTTGCGCAGGTCGAGGATCTGCAGGAAGTAGAGGTCCTTGAACATGCGTGCGTCGATGTGCGTCAACTGGTTGTACGAGAGGTCGAGCACGATCAGCCGGATCAGCCCGAGGAAGGTCGCCTCGTCCACGTGATCGCTGCCCAGCCGGTTGCTCGCGAGATTCAGCACCAGCAGCTGCTCGAGATTGGTGAAGAGGTCGCGCGGCAGCTCGCGCAGCCCGTTGTGCGCCAGGTGGATCTCCCTGAGGTCGCGCGTGCTGCCGAACAGGCCCTCCGGCAGCGCGTCCAGCCCGTTGCGGCTGGCGTTGAAGGTGCGCAGCACGGTCAGCCCGTTCAGGGCGTTGCGCTCGATCCTCACGATCGCGTTCCGCTGCAGGTAGAGCTCCTGCAGCTGGCGCAGACCCGACAGCGGACCGTCCTCCGCCAGCCGCTGCAGCTCGTTGCGCGAGAGGTCGAGGATGCGTATGTCGGCGCGACAGGACTCGCCGTCGACGGCGCGCGCCGTCAACCCGATGCCGTCCACCTCGCGGATGCGGTTCCCGGTGAGATTCAGGGTCTGCAGGTTGTCCAGCTCGCAGAGCAGATCCGCCGGCAGCGCCAGCACGTTGCTCTCGACGATCTCGAGGGTGTGGAGCTCGCGGAGCCCGAGGAAGGACCGCGGGGCGAACTCGAGATGCCTGCCGGCGCCCCAGGCCTCGTTGAAGGTCTGCACGACCAGCCGCTTCAGCTCGAGCAACGGCTGGAACGCGCCCTCCGGCACCCGCAGCACCTTACACCCGTGCACGTGCAGCTCGTGCAGACCGGCCAGCCGCTGCCAGCTCTGCGCGTTCAGGCTGCTCTCGAAGTGGTGGACGTCGCTGCACCGGATGCGCAGCCGTAGGGCGCCGTCCAGCGACGGCGCCAGGGAGACGATCGCGGCGGGGTCCAGCACGCGGAGCGAGCAGTCCGCCGAGCGGGTGTCGTTGCCGGCCTCGTTGCTCCATCGGCAGGAAGCCGCGGCCGGGCCCGTCGACATCAGCGGCAGCAGCAGGAGGGTGGTCGCGAGCAGACGGCGGAACAACGCCGTCGCCCACCACGACGTCATGTCGCCGCGTTCTCACGGACCTCCGTTCGACGCCGACGACGTTCGCGATCTCGGGGTGACCAGCAGCCCTGCCCGCTCTCTCATTCACGCGACGGGCACACGCGCGCACACACTCGACACCAGCACGACAGTAGCGATGACAACATCAACAATAACGACGACGGTGATGACGGGGAGGACGACGACACATACACACGCGCGGCTCACGGGGGGAGAGAAAGAGAGAGCGCGCGCGCTCACGTATCACGTATCAAACGCGGAGCGGCCCATTTCCCTTCTCGCCCTTTATCCGCGGGCAGCCGAGGGCAGCCTCCCCGGCGGATCCCGGCGTCTGCTCCTGTCACCCGCGTATTCGACCCCGGTCGCTCCTACGCACGCACGTTATACACTTCTCTCTTTCTCCCTCCCTCGAGATTGTATCCCCTATCGATGATGTCCGATGCAGGTCTGCCGACCGGGCCGTCCGACAGCGCTCGTATCAACAAGCCCGCGTATCGCGATCGCGAAAGAACGCGTCGCACCTCCTCCGCGACGACGATCAGCGCGAAACAGACTGGTTCGGCCGCGAGCAGCACACGGAGCACTCGTGCCGTCGCGCACGCACGCACTCGCCTCGCATCGAGCACCAGCACTGAAACCCGTAGGCGCCTGAGCGCGCATCATCGGCATTCCCGACCCGTTGCGGCGGCCCCCGGTACTCTCCCCCCCGACGGTGCTAGAGGGCACCACCTGGCTAAGGCAGCCGCGGATAGGCGGGGGTAGTGGCAGCGGCAGGGTTGAAGTTGAAATCCGTTCCGGTGGGTAGCCCTTCGACCTATCGACGTGTCGTCGGGGAAAGCGTCGCAGCGCAGCCCCCGTTGAGTTTCGGACTTCGAGGTAGCATGTTCGAGGTTGGCTTATTCGTCGTGCGTTGAAATCGGAGGAAGAATTCGGTCCGGCGGTACGTTTCATTTGCGACCGTTGCAAAATGTTCCGTGCTGAGATTGGGTTATTCTTTTGGATCCACGGGGAACGATCCAATGTCGGCGCAAGGAACCTTCCGACTGTTGCGAAACAAACGTCCCGCCGAACGCGGCCGGCGTAACGTGTAACGTATCTGTTAATTATCGTTACCTACTTGACAATGTAACTGATATACAACACAGGCGTTATCCAACATTTACATCGTTGAGTAGGAAATTACAGGTGTGTTACACGTTGAGTTACGTTTGCCGGGTGGAGTCGCCGCGGTCAGCACGAAGAGCGGATTTCGAGCGCACTCGCGTGAAAGAAGAATATCTACGCGCGATGATCGCCGCTCTGCGATGACGTCCGTTACCCCGAATGGACGAATAGAGAGAGAGAGTCATTTTCACCTGACGACCTCGGCATTTTCGAACCCCCGCGAGCCTCTGAAAGAGTCACGCCAGTTTCGGCGCGCGGTCGCTCTCCTAAGAATTACCAACCCACGTGCGGCCTCCGCCCCCGCACCACCGTCACGCTCGTCTCCGGCCGCGACCCGAGCTCGCACGCTCGACGATATCCTTCCTCGCCGTCTACCTCGACCTTCCGTCCACACGGGAGACCACTTCCGCTCGCTCGTTTCTCCCTCGAATCGCGGCCCTCGGAGCGTGAAACTAGTCCCTACGCCTAGGGATTATCATCCCGCGCTCTCGGCGAGAACAGCGCCGCCACCGTCGCCGCCACCCACCTTTCGCGTCGCTAGCGACGCAGTCGCCGCGAGTTGACGCGAGTCTCTCAGTCCGGTGGTGGTGTGCGTCGTACGTGCCTCGTCGTGCCCGTTGTCGCTCGTCCGTTCGCTCTTCGTGCGTTGCGCGAGGGAATTCCCCGATCCGATCGATCTCTCTCGTGATTATTCCTCTTCTCGACGACGACACTCCCCTTCCCTCTCATTCTCTCGTCCACCTGCGAGGATGAAGGCGGCTTACCTGCTGTGCGCGCTGCTCTGCGTAACGATCGGCACTTTGGTGCTGGCTCAAGACGGTGAGTCTCTCTCTCTCTCTCTCTCTCGCGCGGTATTTCCCCTACTTTCCGTCGATCCTCGATGCGGCACGATAGCGTTTCAGAAATGACGTAGAAAATACGGCGTACCACCGACACGCAAGGTGCGTGGCGTGCATGCGTGCGGCACTCGTACCAATAACGGGTTCCGATAACGGATTAGAGATGCGGTTCGAGTTTGTCACGTACAATGTCCGTCCACCTTGAACTGACGACTCGACGGACCCTGGTCGCGTCCCTTCTTTCCGAAGGGACGCTTATTCAAATCCGTCCGCTCGCTCGGCCTTTCGTTTTTTTGTCCGCCCGTTCGTCGCATTTTCCACGTCCTTTGTTCCCCCTCAGTGAGAAACAGCGCTTCCCTCGTCGTTTTGGGCGTGAGGGGGAAAAAAGGCGCGAAACCGAAAGAGGGATGGAGATTCGGAGGGGGGCGGCGGCGTGGCTTCTTACTCGCGCGTACTCGACCTTCATGCGGCGTCAGCGACGTCGACGTCGAATTCTCCAGGAGATTCTCCGCCGCTATCGATCTCGCGTCGAATCCTGCGGCCTCCGCGCGCAACTACGAGCGATAACGATCGATGCACGGTCGAGTTAACGCTTCGCCGCGCCGATAAATTGGACAACCGTGGGCTCTCGACTGCGTTGTTCATCGCTGCATCGCACCTTGACGTTGATGCCTGTTTTTTTGCGTCTCATTTTCGCGTGGGCGACGCATCGCCCGGAATATGAATCAGTCGAGACGCACAAGCGCGCTCCGTTCCTCATAGCTGCACTGCTGAACCAGCGCGGTAAGTTGAAGCGAGACGAGTCTATGGTTCTCCCTTCAACTTATTGCACCAGTTCGGTGGTGCGGCTGATAAAGAACGAAGGAGCGGAGGAAACTAGAAGCTCTCGGAGTCATTTAACATCGAGATCGAAAGATGACATCCGGCCGAGATATCAACCGCTCATAGTTTATCGGAGTTTATCGAAAGTTACGGCGATTTTTTACCTTACCATCGATCGAACGTATCTTGCAAATTCGAAGGAATATGTACACATGTACCAATTGCCGAGCTTGCACAATTTCCGGATGCGACATGCGAGCCGACTATTAACGTACGGTATCAGTTGTGCGATGTGTTAATTTGTCGTGAGTAAGCGAAAGTCACCTCTCGAATGTACTCGCACGCCTGTCTAAGAGACGTCGCAGAGACGTCTCTTGGACGTCTCGAAAGCATCTTCGTGTTCTCGGGACTATTGTTGCTCGGTCGGCAATTGGAGACGGGATATTCCCGTAAACGCTTATCGTTATGATCGGGTACGAGTCTTGTTTGTCGTACGAGAAGCAATGTATGGGTTGTAACATGTGTTCAGGTGCAGCAGGAGAACAGGCGGCGTCACCACCTTCTGCCAGTAGTACAACAACCGCCTTGCCAACCCTGAGTAACGACAAAATTAAACTACCATCCCCAACAATCACCCTTAAACCGGAAACGACTACGACCCAAACTACCACCGGTAAACCGAATACAACTACGAAGTCGACTGTTCCGACTACACCTTCGACCACCACATCGACGACTACCACTACCACTACAGCAACACCACCCACTACTAATCCTAATAATAGTACTAACGTTACTACTGCATCTCCACCGTCTACACCTAGCACTATCCCAACATCCAATGGTACGGTTACACCACTTACAACGCCTGTACCAGCTTCATCCAAGGACCGTCACTTCGACGGTCTTAGCTTCTTCGGTAAGTAAAAGTTGCAGTCTCGGTTGATCGACAACAGATTCGGCAAACGACGACGAAATAAAACGCTCTTGGGTTTGCAAGAAAGCGTCATCAGAGTTGGCTGATGTTACGGTGATGATGAGTCGTGTTGCGCAAATCTGTTTGTCGAATCAACAATATTATTTATTACGTTTTTTTTTTCGAGAAATTTTTATTCCAATAAAAATATCTCGTGCGCGATAGCGCTTCGACGTAAGATATTAAGGAGACCGTGTGTGTGTGTGTGCGTTTATCCTTGTTGCAGGTGGTATTATCCTTGCCACGTGTCTGATGGCGATTTCCGTGTTCGCATGGAAATTCTACAAACAATGCAGCGAAGGGAACTACCGTACACTGTGATAACGTGCGAGGCTGTATAACTAACAAATTTTCGACAGTCGACAACTAAATGCAGTTAATTGAATTAAGAACTATGAATAATTATTTTATTGTAATAATATTGCGTATTTTTGTAACGCAGTTAAGTGTTGCGTGGTTTAAGTGCTCTTAGTAATGTGATGTGCAACCACGAGTTCCGTTTGTCTCGACATGTATACATATAGGATGTTTCATTTTAAATGACCTAAGTCGATTATCTTGAAAAATAAAGCATTTTCAAGAAAGACGTTTCATATAAAAATTGTAGGGGTTTTATGTGGCGCGTTATGTTAGCGATGTTAGCGTGACTTTGAATAGCATTCTTAAGATTACGTGAGAATTACTTTGTAATTCTTTAATCCCTATTTTTAATTACATTTTTGATTACATATTTTTATAACTGACCGCGAGAACTTTGCAAAACATTATAATAAAGTTACTTTTCATGCTTTATTTTCGAAATAATTGTAGCACTTAAAATGAAACGTCCTGTACATATATGATATATAGGTATATATATATATAGGTATATATGCGGGGTATATATATACCTATTTACAGAGAGTAAAGTATCACATGTATTAAGAGCGACACTGCGGTCGTGTTTATACGCGCGTTTCATTAGTGGATGAAAGATAGTGGAGAGGTTGCGAGATAGTAAAGGGATGGGGAGGGGGTGAGAAACGAGCGGAATGATAAGAGAATGGGAGGGGGGAAGGGGGAAAGTGGGTGCATCGAGGAACGTTTCAGAGTTGGTGACCAATCAAATATACATTCCCGAGAGAGAGAGAGAGAGAGAGAGAGAAGAAATCGTACTTCTGTAAACGCGCGCTATACCACTTCTTATATTATTTCCGCTCTCGAGCTCGGTAAGGACGCGAGAGTTATATCTGCATCGGGTCATTCTGTATATACCTCGTGGTTAGAGTTACGTAAGATTAGACTTTTCTACGATACGGTAGAAAGAGAGAGAGAGAGGGAGAGAGAGAGGGAGGAGAAAGTGCTTGGTTCGCAACGCGCTCTCTCAGCTGTCTCTCAGCGTGGTAACGTCGCGTCGCTTCATGAACGAAAGGCGCGAGTCTTTCCGCGTCGGCTCGACGCCGCCGCGATGCCAGCCGATGTTGAATAACGGCAGAATCGGCTTCGAGATGCTTCAAGAATACACGATATCCGTAATGCACGACGGTACGCCGAGTTAACACCGCGTGTTATCGAGAAGGTGATAGTCGTGCGGCACGGCCGTACGATGGGTGCGAACTGATAACTCCCTCCTTCGGTGCGTCGATTGCCTTTGCTCGCCGGCTTCGTTCGCAACGTTTTCCCGGTGAAAAAAAAAATGCGTTCACCACAGTTCAACGCGTGGATAATCGTCCGTGGGGATCTCGGCATTTGCATTGTTAATCGGAGCGCGGACTTACGTTTTTTTTTCTTTCTCCTCCTTTATTTTTCTATATTCAGACACATCACGCGAGATTACGAGATCCTTCGGTGACATAATAATACAGACATCGACGTGATACTTTCGTTTTTTTCCTCCTTTTCTTTCTTCGACCACGTAATTTCCTCGTTATCTTCGCGTAGATTGTGATCTCGGTCGCGCGATTATTTACGCTTTGCGATCGCAGGACCGTCGGCGTCTTCGAACGCGCACCTCTGCAGGCTCCCTAGCGTGCTTGCTCGTCGTCAGGTGGAAAGCCTAAGAAGCGTGCTCACGGATCGAGCAGTTCCTTTCTCACACTTTCGCCTAAAACACGAGTCTAATTAAGGATAATAATATTAATTAATTTAAGGCAAACGTTCTTCACACCCCAGCTTCTGTTTTTGTTTTCCTTGTCCTTTTAGAACGACGCGTTCACCCGCCGCGTAGATTTCCCGGTAGCAAGTGTTATATTTTTTTAAGTATACAGTGTTGTATGATGTTGAGTAATCCTTGCGAAGCGATTTTGTAAGCATTACGTCTTTCTTATAAAAAAAAAAAGAGAAAAAAGAAGAAAAGACCAAAAAACATCACACGTTATATTATCTCTGTATTTCACGTTTCGTGCAATATTCGTGTAAAAAGATTTTAATTCCCTCGGATTTATGTTCAAGTTACGTCACATTGGTACAACATTGAAAGACCAAAGACAGAACACTGCGTGATATTTCATGAATCCCCGACCCCGCTCCCCCCGGCGTTCCTCTCGACGTTATGCACTGACAGAGAGGATACCACGAGGACACTTATCTTCAACCGCTCGCCCTCGCATTTCGCTTCGTCGGTCGCTCTTCGTCGCGTGAAGGAGTGAGAGAGAGAGAGTGAGGAGGGGGGGGGGGGAGCGCTTCGATAAGAAATCCATAACATCTGTCTCTCGACGAACGCCGCATTTGTACTAACCGTTATGTTTATATCGATACCGCTCTTGCTTTCTCTCCAAACACAATGCTCGATCGCTCTTGTTGAGAGCGCATGTTTCAAGCATCTAAAAATATACTGTGTAAAATAGAAAGAAAAAAAAGAAACGCAAAGAGCAAAGGCACTCTCTCGAAAGAGAGAGAAAGAGAGAAGAGCGTGGATGCGGATCGATGACCGACCGCGATATTCTCACGTCGCGCGTAATCGATTGTTACGATCGTTTCGATTAATTGGCAGATATTCATAAGCGGGGACGATGGATAAGGCGAGATATAACTTCCCATATTCGATAAGGGCGATAAATATAACGTCGGTCGGATTACGAACCAACACGTAATTGTTCCGCAACTGTATGACATGTCAGGGCTGTCTCGAGGCGCCGGCGAATATTGCGCCGTTTCCTCGTACTTGTTATAGCTTCTATACTTGAAAGTAATAATAATAATAATGATGATAATAATAATCAATCAGTATCTCCGGCAGATCGCGTGTTGTTTCATTATCGACGCCTGCTCACCGGCCGGCTGCGTTTTTAAACATCCGGCCCGTCCAGAAAGAGTATTGATCCGGCACCCAGCCGTCCGTCCGTCCGTTCGTTACACGTACTTGACACACATATTTTCTGCAAGCGCGCGCGCTTATAAAACAAATATGCGGACCATGCACGCGCGCACTTCTAATACGGCAGTTTTTTTCCCACAGCGAGGGTGAAAACCGCCGTATTTTTCCTCCGGGCGTTGCACGAGGTCACGGAACGCGCGCGCGCGCCCCGAAAAACCTCGCGGAACGGGNGGGGGGGGTGGGGGGGGGGTAAAGGTGAAGGAAGGGAAAAGGGATAGTCGATAGCGGCGGTAAACGCGACGACCATTTCGCGGTTTAGTGTTTTCGTTATTTAACGGATATTTAACGAGGCAAATTGGCAAACGTGTGCATCGCGCTCGTCTCCCCCTTCCCTCCCTCCCGTACCCGCAGGCCCCCTCCCCGCCTCTCTTTTATTTCACCATCGCGCGTTTATTGTACTTTTGCAGGCTCGTGGAACGATCGGGTCGGCGCGAAGTTTTCACTACGAAAGGCGGATACGGGGAGGGCAGTTCCGTCGATAGCGGAAAAAAACATATGGCATTTTACGTAACGCTACTTACCAACTACGCCGGTGGGACGCTTTTCAGCGTGCGGTAGCCAGCTGTCGATGAGCTTAAATCGGTATCGCGGCGCGCGCGGAAATAACGCGCGCGAGTTTGCGGAGTTACTTTCCGAAACTAGGAGGAGGAAACTTCCCGACGAGTTATATAGCATATAAAGCGCGAGGCCCTTTTCTTTCTCCTTTCTTCCGGTAATTACAGCTCGGGAAACGAAGGCGTTCGAAAAACGAGGAGAGAAGGTGGAGGAGGGATCGATACTACGCTGCGAACTAGCTGGTATCGTGCATAAGGATTTGCAACTCGGCGAGATCTATAGTTTCGCCGGCTGCAATGAGATATCCGGCGAACACGGCGCAAGACGGAGCCGTGGTATTACAGTCGATAAACTCTCTCGCGCGCGCGCTCGCCTCGCCGCACGCTTGAGACCAAAGTTCCTCGGTTTGTGAGGACGAAACCTCGACGAGAAATGATGCACAGTAAAAGATTTTTTGCGTTAAATTGAAAACACACTTCGCATCCGTCCTGAATAAATGGTCCGCGTAAACTCTCGCGTTGATTTAACGCGAATGTGTTGAAAAGTAACACTAACGTCGTGTTAAAAATGTACGTAAATTAATATTCATGATATGTTAATCGACACTGAAGTATCGAATGCGTTATTTTAACACACTTAATGTTGTGTATAATCGCAATACGTTAAATTAACGGACGGCTATGTTAAAAGTTTAATATGAAGATTTTTTAAAGAACCGATTTTTTTAACGCAAGTGCAAATTTTTCTTTGATGTAGACATTTTTAACGTCAAACCTTTTAANCGGGGGGGGGGGGTGTTTCAGCGTTGTGTAGGAATGTGTCGAAGTATATGAAAACAAATTTTCGATCGTACGAATCTACGTTAGAACAAAGATAAAACCAGGTCCAAAGTTAGAGATTATAAGAGACTACGAAATGATTTCGCGAGTCGTAGTGATAATACGTTAATATCTTAATCCTAGAGATAACGGTTAAAAACAGATGAAATTCCATTCATTCCAATTTCCTTGAGCATTTATTTCATATAGTTTGAGAAATGCAATTCCAGTTAAGATTTTTAATCAACGAAACACAGCTACGCAGTAAACACCTAATATTAGTTACATTACATCCGTGTGTCTTACTCTACAATGTGAATGCAATATAATTGTTCAGTGAGACATCATAACATAGATATAATCTAACTGAATATTGGTATGAATTTCTACAATCCACCGTCCTATCATCTGAACTATCGAAAGCTTGTTATAATGATACTTGGTGTTTACTGAATATCCTTTGTTTCAAACGAATAAAATGTAAGTCTGTACATGTAACAAACAGATTTCGATGTTACGAGACGTCGTTGTTCAAACATTCAAATCAAAACTTTCTAAAATTTCAAATCGTAACTTTCAGAAAAAAACAACGAAAAAGCGAAGACGATTCGAATTCCGCGATTTTAAATAGGTGATTCTTCACAGAAAAACAGGTGTTTAGTTAGTAATATTTTATACTTTGAAAACGATATCTTACTGTACAGTGTTGTAGTTTGAAAACACATCATTTAAAACTTTTAGGAAGATAAGAAATATGCGCGTTGGAAGTATAAATTCTAAATATATATTCGCAAGAGGATAGAAATTGTGTTTCTCACGCATTTAAACTTTTTTTAACGCATTTGCACATTGAAAAAAACTCGTTTTTCCACTTTATACTATTTAAAGATTATTACAAATAATGAGGAATGTTCCGAGGATCGCCGCGAATCAATTAAAATCGTATGACGACGGCGAACGTAGCGCGTGCTTGCACGAGGAAAAAGTTTTGTCCACTTAAACAGCTCTTTCGTTCCACTATGTGCTCCGCAATAATTCATTCGACTCTGGGAATTTCCCGGGCGCCTTCCGTGAAATCGAATATAGGACGTTCCGTTACACCCCGCGATGATTTTACGAAAGTCCAATTTCGCCGTTTCCCGGTGAATTATACTCGACGGCGACGGAAAGTTTTCCTGTTCGCGATCTCGTGATTGTCGGAAATATTTTAAGCCGGTATCTCGAGCTGCCTCTCTTACACGTTTAGTGAAAAGTATAACGAAAGAAAGAGAGAAAAAATGAGAGAGGCGTAATAGTGATGTAAAGTTATTAATAAAGTTATAAGGCCGTGCGAGTGAATGTTTTTCCACACGAAAAGAATAACAAAATTCACCTTTAAGAATGTTTGTTAGAAGCGCGCGAGCGGATAACCATTTTTGGTTAAACAACCATGTGTGTTGAATAATAAACGTTTTGGTTTCACTTTTAGACTCTTCTCAATACAGAGCAGATAACGGTTTATGGGCCAATATTATCACTCTCTTTTCTTATCATATCACCCCTTATCGTAGTCTAATTTTCTATTTACATTTTTTTTTAGATATTCAATATATTTTTTTTTGAAATATCTCCCGAGATCGAATTACGGGCGGCGAATCATTTTGAGCTTCGTGGAAGCCACGTGCGCTGTTATTCCCGTTTCATTTTGCGCATATCGAACGTGCGAGTGTCGCGGCATAACGTTCCCAGAGAGAGAGGAGATAGGGTGCGGAAAACCAGATAAGAAAAACACACGCGTGCAGAAAGGAGATCGCACAAGCGAGTGCGCGGCAGCGCGTCGGGCGTGACGCAACGAAAAAAACATTAGCGTGACATCGCCTTGCGTTTCGTGAGAATCGCTCGGCGCGAAAATACACCGCTGCGGGATCGTTCCGCGTATAACCCGCTGAATTCTCTTCGCAAAAGTAATCCGAGAAATATTCGCGCGCGCGAAACTACCTACGCGGCGAGAGCTGCCTTCATCCGCCGGAGGAAATCCGGAATTGAAACTCCATTTTCGCGGAAGGATCAGATTCCCCCGAGAAAAGCGGAACGACATTCCGAAACGAAATCAATTATCGTGCAAATTTAATATGCGATCGCTTAAGAGGCTCGCGTAAATTGTCGAGTCTTTCTCTTTCTCTGTCTCTCTTTCCTTCTGTCTCTCTTATCCTATATGATATTAACAGACTTTTTCTTTTTCTCTTTTTTCATGTATTTTTTTACTCTGATTTATAATAATATTATAATACCTTTATATTAAGCGTTCTTAAAGGGCTCGCCCTAGAATGTTAATAAACGCTTTATAGAGAGAAAAAGAGAGAGAGAGAGAGAGATCTATTTCTTTTTCTCCCGAGGACGAATTGATTCCGAATTGCATTGAAGATCCGCAGATATGCGGAGAGAAGACGAGAAGAAATGGAAACACGATTTATAATGTATGCCCGCTGCGTATGATTACATAATTAAGGATGATGACACACGGACGCCGCATACTGAAGCGTGCTTTCATCTACGACGTGACGTCGCAATCATCGGCTATCAAAACAGTCTCCCATCTTATTTATCTTCTGCCAACCGTATGGTAACTGCACCTTTTTTCGCGATTTCACTTCCGCGTACGCTTATCAAGTTCAAAGTCGGATTATTTATTCAGCCAGTGAATTTTATTTTAGGAGAGTCAGAAACAACTGGACATTTCGCGTTATTCTGAAATTAAAAACCTTTCCAGGAATCAAACTTACGAGATCGTTAAATGTTTGTTGTAAAAAAGTTGTAAATTTCTTTCTCTCTCTCTCTCTCTCTCTCTCTCTTTCTTTCTTCACCTTGACTAAAATTTATGTTGAGGCTCATCTCGCCTATCAAATTTAATGCGACGAGAACTTTTTAATATTGCCTAGTAAACACCAATTAACAGTAAAATTGCAACAACAATGTTATAGTTTTCTCAACAATGTAACTGTTATATACAATGGATGATATATTGCATTTACATTGTTGAGTGAGAAATTATAGCATGTTATATGACTGTTAGTTGGTATTTATTTAACTTATTGGGTGGTTATTTGATTTAAATTAAATGTTTAGGAGAAAAATAGATACTGTATTAAATTCTGATAGATTAATCCGAGCTATCCGAGTTTACTTAAGCATTCTAAAATTGATCGTAGATGCATGATAATACTCACGTGATTTTAGAATATTTGCCGGAAAATTTAACTTTAAGGAAATTTTCAGGTTGATTATTGAAGTTAAGCGGAATATTCAATATTTAACACAAAGCCAAATATTTTATCACATTATATTCGGATCAACTCGAATTGATCGATTATTTGGATATTCTAAAATTGATCGAGAGACCGCAGTCCAGCGTTAATTTCCGAATATTTGCAATCGAGAGAATGTATTCGGAGAACACCTTGTACAATTTGCTACAATCTACGACGATGTTGGAAAGTCCGACCGCAGATATCAGCTACTGCGGTGGCAGAGGAGAAAAAATGGATCCGCCTAGAGCGCGATACGCCCTTACTCTCCTCCTTTCACCGGAGAGCCTGCTCCGCGGCTCTACTATTTATACTTCGGTGGAAATTCTCAGGATAACGATATGGAACTATTACATAGCGCGTGTAATGACCGGTGCACCGCGATTACGAGCCGTGGACGATAAACTCTTGCACGTAGCGCGCGGCTTAGTGCACGCGGCTATGAGCGAGTGCCACTTCAACGACACATGGAAGAGCGATACGAATTTTAACGACGCACCGCACAAGCCTTTATCAAGTACGAGAGTGAACTGGAAAACATTGCGTCTTTCTTTTCGAGACGAAGAAAAAAACAAACCCGCGACCCGACCCTCTTAAGTGCCGGTGGTTAACTTTTTTGTTCAGCTCAGCTCGGATATCTTCCCTACGTTCGCATAATGTTACAAAAGAGAAACCTCCCAGCTCGATTCGTACGTGAATTTATTGGGTCAGTAGAAAAATAATTCAGTTCGATTTGCCGCTTTCTCTGACGGTAATTCGCATTTTAACGACAGAAATATGTGAAAGTAATTGGCAGAATGTTGGGAAAAAATTGTAGGTAGCAACGACGACTACGTGGATAAATTGTTGCCGTCGAACGCGGTAAATTCGGCCGAGAAGTCGAATCGAAATTTCGTTTGATCCGATGCAAGTGTACTTAACACTTTGCGGGCCGCGCATTTATCGAAGCGCCGTTACGCTGCCGCCGGCGAGATTCACGCAGGTTCTACTGCTCGCCAACGGTGATATTTACGCAATTTTTCGATACATAAGTAGTTGGTATATAATTATTATTAAAGAAGGCACTAAAATAAGGAAAACAGTTGAAAACAATGTTTCCTGATCGTCAAACCATCACGCCAGCGTGATAGCGGCCGAAAGTCGTTGGCGAGCAAAAGTCACGCCAGCGTGACAGCGGCCGATAACCGTTGGCGAGCAAAAGTCACGTCAGCGTGACAGCGGCCCGCAAAGTGTTAACTCGCTTGTTTCGAAATCTTGATTAAATGTGCACACTGCGTCGTGCACTTTATTCTAGATCGAGTTGCGCGATTTTTAGTATTACACATACACACACAAGGTCGAAACCATTATAATTCTAGATCCACTACAACCCAATCGTTATAATTAGAGTTATTTACTGCGACTTTCAACTTTATACATACACGAAGAAAAAGATTTCTTCAGATTTCATCAGTTTCACCGCATCCAACACACATTTCATCATTGGCACGCTCCAAAGAAACTAATGTTTCGATTAACAAGTAAGTACGATCGTGAGACTTTTCGAATATGTATCCTTATTATGAATAAAAAATTTGGAACGAGAGATAATTTTCTTACCAAAAAGAATAATTTGTTTCACCTCACATATTTATTGTAACCAAGTAATATTTCATTTGGTTAAAGAATATTATTTCGAATAATAGCGTTCTTCCCGTCAAATAATAGAGTTCTCTCGAATGAGACAATAAGATTTGTACTCGAGCGAATAATATTTCGTACACATTGTTTCCATGAGTCAAATTCCAGCCGAATAAATAGAAATACTAAATCTAAAGGAACGCTTTTCCTCCGTGCACATGCATACGACGTGAAAAGTCGCGAACTCTCGATGTAAGGAATGCTAAGGCACGCATAACGCACGCATGTACAGTATGTGCAAGATAATATCATCGAGATTTTCGATACTCGCGACGTTTAACATTTAATTCTGACATGTGGAATGAAATCATCGCGGCGAATGCATGCGGCGTCGCCTCGGGAGGCACTTGCGAAGTTGGCGCGACCTCTCGCAATTAGATGATACCGACTAAGTAACATGTCGCCAATCGCGCTGAAACTCTGTGCAAATTGCAGCGACAGATTGCGCGCTGCGGCGGACGCGTGTTATGACGGCGGCCGGGAGGCGCGTGTGTGCCGGGAAGCCTCTCCGTCAGGGGCGGAGTTCGTGCCGACCGTCAATAAAAGAGCGCACATCTTCGTGTCTCTTCTTTTCTTTGGCCTTCTCTTCTGCCACTTCCTCGTCTCTCTCTTTCTCGTCTGCTCGCGCATTTTCCGCCCTTTCAGAACCCGCGTCTTCTTCACCTGTTCCGCATCTCCCTTCTCCTCTCAACTCTCAATTTTGTCTTTCTCTCTCTCTCTTTCGCGATATCCGGCCATTGAAAAATTCAATACAACGAAAAGGCAAGGATCTCGGGTAATAGAAAAATGAATTACTCGATATCGATGGAGACAAATCGCTCCTCTTCTCATCTCGCGAGATATCTACACTTCTCTCTCTCTATCTCATCATACGTTCGACGGTGTCATGACAACGGTAGGAATTCGCGCAATTTCGCTCGAAATGACCTCCCAGACCCTCCTCCCCCCCGCTTCACCATAAATTACGTAGGAATAATTTACGAATTCCCTCGAGGGACAGCAGCCACTCGGCATCGACCGAAAGGGTAAACGCGAACGAGCAACGTTCGCGCGCGAGCTGGCGACATCCCTCTGCATCTTTCATCGCATACCCCCTCTCCCCCGTGCTCTGAATGTATTCTTAATACTCGACGTCGTGGGCCTCCTGTGCCCTCATATCACCGCTCCGGATGACACGCGGTCTGCGCTTCCTCGAATCGAACTCGCGTCGTCTCTGATCGATCGGGCCGCGGTCCGTCCGCGGCAGGTCGCCAAGCGATCACGCGGAATCGAGATAGAAATCCGTGGTCTAATCACCCGGATAATGACGATAACCGCACGCTCAACACTTAGGCCCGACAGTCACGCACGTTAGATGACGACGCTGATGCCTTCGGCCGCTCGAGATAATCGCTCGTCCCTGCTTCAGCCCGCTCGCGAGCAGAACGCCCGTCGCTTTCGCCCTCTCACCTTGACGCTGGAGGATCGAGGGCGCGAGAACGCAATCGTGTGGTCCACGCGCGCGCGGCCAGGAAGAGGAAAAGAGCGCGAGGAGGGGGAGAGAGAGAGAGAGAGAGGAAGGAGGGCGCGCGCCGCTCCGTCGCGAAACCCAGATTTTGCGCGCGAAACTACACCCTCCGCAGCGGACGCTCGTCGACGCCGAGGACGGCATTCCCCGGCTCGTCCACGGAGGCTCCTCGTCCTCCTCCTCGTGTCGCTTAACGATCGGTGTTGCCGTCGATTACACCACCACCGGCGTGGATCCGGCGCTGTGGTCCAGCTTGCGGCGCCGACGGCAAGCGGCGGAGGCGGCGGTAGAGGTGGTGGTGGTGCTGGCGGTGGTGGTGGAGGCGACGGTGCGTCCGCGGGGGACGTTTCGCAAAGTGTGCGAGGAGAGAGAAAGAGAGAGAGAGGGAGAGAGGAGGAGGAGAGAGAGAGAGAGAACGCGGTGGTGCGCGCGAGAGGGCCGGATCGATAGCACCGAAAAGCGAGAGGAAAGAGAGCTGGCGGCTGGATCCTCTCTCGGCCAAGACGCTCCGGAGTGCCCTAGGACGACGCTGCGTGAGACCTGATCCTGCGTGCGTGCCGGCGTGTTTGGCGGAAAAACGCGATCATCGCAACCCGCTCGCGATGTACGCGCACACGTGCGTGCGTACGTGCGACGTGTCGACGAGCTGGCCGGGCCGGGCAGCGCGTTAGTTGGGCCAGTCGGTCGACGTTCGGTGTGCAAAATCGTCGGAGCTACCCTTACGTGGCGGTGGTTGGTGTCCCCCTCGACGAGGGCCACGACGAAGGGAGTGCCGCCGGGGGATGAGAGGTCGACGAGCCACCGCCGAATGATCCCGGAGACAACGTCCTCTCGAGCATCCTCCGAGCCGACGGTCGACGCTGGCCGAGCAACGCGCGATGCGGCCGAAATCCGGCAGGGAGACACGGTCGGTCCGCTCGTCGCGGGTGTAGCACGACGGATAGTCCGGCTTGTGTTCGGCGTTGCCCGGTGCTCTGCGACCGCTGCTCTCGACTCCTGGTCGATGTGATCGAATTATCGTCGGACGGCGCGACGCTCGGCGTTGTTCTCCGCTGTTCATCCTCGAGGAGGACGCCGCCGTCGCAAGCGGAATTTCGGATGCGAACAACGGAGGCGACAAGGGCTGGGTCATCGAAAGTACATGGTGGGTAATGTGCCGCTTGACGCTTGTCGCGTTAACTGGCTGCTAACGCGACGGGAAAGGATTGGTCTTCGAGTCGAGAGTAGATGTTCTCATACATAAGCGAGAATATTGCGATTTTCTCGCGAGACTTTTAGCCGTGAATTGGGGTCGAGTAACACTCGCGCCGATAGAAATCCATTCGAATCGAGACTGAAAGTCTCCTGAGAAAATTATCGTATTCTCGCTTATACATGGGAATATCACCCTCGATTTATGCAAAACTAATTTTTTTCTCGCGTACCAAGCATCACCGTCGAGAGAGAAAGAGAGGGATATCTCGGGATTCTCCGTATCCGTGAGAGGCCACATCAACCCCCGCGGAATATGTTACATTATTTCGTAACCATGACGCGTAATCCTCGTGCGAGCATGCGAGACGAGCATGCTTGCGAGTTCGCTTCCCCGCCCCCTCGTCTCGTCGACGTGTGATTCGCGGGGAAGGATCGCAGGGAATCACACGGAAGATCGCTGATGCGGGAAGACGCGCGGGATTTATTAATCGTTATTCCGAGCTCGACCTCGCGTTGTCGAAGGGTAGGCCCGATATAGCCGGCAGCATTGACCGATATCGGTGTTGCCAACGGCGCTTCGCGTTTCATCTTAATTATGGACCTGGTGTTGATCCCTTCAGCGGTGCACAAAGACAGCGTGCGCGGCGCAATGACGCGACACTCTTTCTTCATCGATTATCACGGACATTAAACGGGGGGTCGACAACACGAGCTGTATCTCGTGATCCGCTTCATGTACGCTACAATTGCGCGCGCGGACACACCGGCGTTAAACCAGCGTTGTGTCGCCGGTGGGCGTTCGTCGCCGTCACGAGACGACACAAAGGTCCGGGAGGCGACGTGCGTCGCGAGTCCTCCGCTCCGAGTTCGAACGAGCTCGGATGGAAAAGAAGTCTCCCGGTTGAACGCCCCCTCGCCGTTTGACGATTGAAAAAGTTCAGACTGTCGGACGAAAGAGTAGGCGCGAGATCAGCTGCGAACGCGACGAGTGCTCGCGTGGAGAAGAAGCGACTGCGACGAATTTGCCGTATCGGAAGCGCGCGTGAGAAAATCACCGAGTTCGGAGCAGCTGGAAAACTTCCCCACAGAAAAGGCGGAATTGGCTTCCAACGGTCGAAAATTAACTTCCACACACGGAGGACAACGAATTTTGCTGGAACAGCAAATGCTTGTTAATATAGTGACAACAAGAGGAGATTTGTTTAGACAGCAAAAAATTTCTTCGGACGGCGGAAGGATTTACCAAGTATTCATTGGCTGGATATATGGACGATTAATACTTATCTTTCCGCTGTCCAAACGAATTTTTCGTTGTCTAAACAAATTCTTTCACGCTGTCACTATATTGACATTTGCTGTTCCAGCAGAATTTGTTTCCTCCGCGCGGGTGAAAATTAACTGCCCACGAATACAACTTGAAATTCAGTTAATTTAGCAAACTTTCTCGTACCTGCGTCAGGTTGCCAGCTCCCGTAGCTAAAAACTGTGTAACTAAATTTCGGTTATGCCATACGGATAGCTAATTTTCGCTAATTTTCACCCGTGGAAGTCGATTCCTCCTTCCCCGCGCGGATACAGAAATTTCCCGGTCGCTCCTAAAACGCGCCCCTGAAATTTTCACGCTTCTTCCCGTGTAAATCGAAGGCACGGATGATTTGCGCATAGAAAACCGCCGAGTATCGACATCTCCAAGCGAACTTTCCACGGAGTCGGCCTGTGCATTATTTCAATAATATCAACGATAATAATAACAATAACGACAATAATAACGGCAATAACATCATTGCTTGCGTGATAATGTCACGCGTGGAAAGATATGTGACTGACGGTGCGACAGAGAGATGGGTTCGCTCGCGTTCGACGAGGTTCGCGATTTTTCACGCCGCAGAAGCGGAAGCGGGGGAGAAAACGCGAGCGAATACGCGCGCCGGACGATCGCGAGCGAGACACGTGTGTGAAGCCGCAAAACCGCTCGACGCAAATATACACGCTAATGACGACACACGTGACGTAAGTGATCTTAATAACGTCGACGATAATCCACTCGAGTCTCCCGCTCTGTTCGAAACGTCATTCGAGGAGGTTATCATTTGCATAATGATCCCACGCGTGTAATCGTCACGTAGAAATGCGCGAATGACACGACCGGGAGGAAAATCGACGAATGCCGATCTAAAGGCCGGCCGACGAGAGATTCCGGACTCTTTGAAGTCTCGCTGACAATAAACACATCCGGATTACGGATACTATTGAAACGGAGGGTGCGACGTAATCCGCGGAGAGATGATCGTGGCGACGAGGCGACGCTCCGGAAGAGACAGATAGAGAGAGAGAGAGAGAGACCGAGAGAAAGACGGGGAACAAAGTGCTTTCCTCGATTGCTGTTAACGAGACGTGAGATCGAGCGGAAGGCCCGGCGGACGCTACATATTATTTCGTAGTCGGCCTGTATTTCAGATCGTGCCGATCGACGGGCGGACTCAGCCGCGAATAAATCGCCGCGATCGAGATACCGGGGGAAGTGTCCAATCGAAATAGGTGCTTTAGTTTCGTTTAGTGGGTGGTGTGTCGTCTTCTTCTCAGAGCGAGAGAGAGGGAGAGAGAGATAGAGAGAGCAGGTGAGAACAATTTCGCCGGTGGTGATACAATGTCAGCTTTAATACCGACGCCTCGCCCTTCGTTTGCGCTCCGCCACTGTAATCTCGTCTCCTTCCACTTGTGATCATATTATCGAGCGAGTAACAAAGTTATCGCTATTATTATTATTATTATTATTATTATTATTGAGATATCGCACAAATGGAGTCTATCGAAAGTTCGTTGTTAAAGACGTCGAGGTCCTGCCTTCTTTTCTTCCGCGTAAATCACTCGCGTTCTCGATTCACGCGGATATTTCCTCGGGATGCGCCCCAGGAATTTTCACGCTTTTCATGCGCTAAATTTAGACAGAGTCGAGGCTTTTCCACGAAGAGAGAAAGATGGTTTCTCCATGTCACCGGATCGGAAGGGAAATATCACCGTAATCGGATCTCTTCCCCTTTGAGAAGGTCTGATGAATCGCGCGCGCGACATCAACAAGCGCTCTAAGCGGGCCCGTCGGAGCCCTTTTCGGAATTAACCAACGGCACATTCGAGTAATCACCATCACCGACCGACGCGCACGATTGGTTGCCAAGTGAGGACATTCGGTACAGGACTCGATCGATATTTAGTCGCTGACAATAGCTGGCCGTTGTCAGGCACACCGTGCACGGAAAAGGGGAAAAAGATTCGGCGAGATGCCGGAGGTGGGGAAACCGCGACCCGCCACAACAAAGAGAGAGAGAGAGAGAGAGAGAGATAGATAGAGAGAGAGAAGGGGGGGAGGGAGAGTTTCCCGGGAATTTCCGTTTTGCCGGCCTTTCCGCGCGAAGGAGACTCCGCGGAGACGACTCCGAGCGCGTTAAATCATCGCACGTATCGCGACGACAGTCACGATAATCGTCATCGCTCGTCGGCGAGAAAAAGAGCGGGCGAGAGGGAAAATTGATTGACGGGGGATCGAACTGTCCGTTCGCTCTACGCGCGCGATTCTCGCGGCGCATTTTTTCCTACCGTCGAACCGCGAGGTAATAACGAACGCCGACGAACACGGCGTCTCCGGCGTGCTGTGGGCGTGAAGACGAGACGGAGAGCTAAACGGGAAGTTGAAGTTGAAGCTGCAACGCGGCTTGTGTAAAAGTTAGTTGCAACCGGAGCCGCTAAATTTAAAAAAAGCTGGGGCTAAATTTAACTCACCGCCCGCGCGCGCCCTCCGGATCTCTCTTCCCCCCNCCCCCCTTCCCCCCCCCCCCCCGCGCGATGGCGGAATAAGTATTTCTCCCGGAGATAATAATTGGGATTGTACGTGTAATTCGAGCAAGAATGTCAGATTAAAAAAACGCGCGCGCATCCGTCTGTGACGGATCTCGTCGGACGAAACGTTACGTCCGCAAAAACTCTCACCGGCGAAACGCTTCGCTACCTTTCGCAAAGTATTTCTCTTTGTGCGGCTCTCAAAAGCGGCGGGGATCTCGTAATTAATGCAATGTCGGGCAAATGAAAATGCATTTCAGCGTTTCGCCGGCGTTTCAGCCAATCGCTCGGCGAAACGGCCCCCCCGACGACGAGCGACGGACAGGCGTGCAGACTTCATCTCCGTATCGCGCGTAACCGGAAATCAGGTAGATATCGGGAAATCGGTAGCTCCATTTCCGCGGCTTCGCTTCATTAATTCGTTTTCTCTCTAGTGAATTTTGCAATCTCCGCCGTATCATCCGCCGCCTCGCTCGGTGCACGTGAAATCCCGAACTCGCTCGTATTTCGACGTGTGAATTTGAAAGAAACATGTACAAAGGGAGCGGTTACGCAACGGGCGTACGCAATCGCGCGGAAAATCACAAAGTGGATCACGAGCGAGAGATGCGAGCGAGGTCGAGGCCGGTAGGAAATCCTGCTATGGAAAATTGCATTATCGAAATATTCATTCTTAAATAATCAGAAGACATCCTTTTAATTAATTTTCTTTCAATTAATTAAGCACTGTCGGATGATGGGTTGCGAAAATATTCTGAATATAATCTTCTGAAAAATTACTGAGAAGGAAATTCTCCTAATGGATACGGGAAACTCGTCGGGGAGAAGCGCGTTGCAACCTTTAATCAGCCTGTGAGTGCAGGTGTGCGTTACAAAACGCACACCGAGAGAAAAAATAACAAATACTTACTCGGCATGTTACTAAACGCATTTATTTAAATCTAAATTATCTTCCTCAAGTGGAATAAACAATTGCTCTCATGCAAAACTACAGATTTAAAAAAAAAAATGTAAATTTTCTCATTCGAAAGAACTTTTCTCAATGTAAAAATATGTGTGTCGATATAAGTAAATGTGTTATTATGTATTAGTACCTCTACCGTATAAATGTTTTACGTTTTAGATATTTTTTTCTCAGTATAGATAACACGGTTCTAGTCGTATCAAAGATGAAAGGAAGGAAAGGAAAGAGATTTTATCGCAGAGAGAGAGAGAGAGAGAGAGAGAGAGAGAGAGAGAGAGAAAGATTAATTCTTGAATAATTAGAGGAAATTCGTTTTAATTAATTAAGTTGAGTTAGATGATTGGAAGTTACGAGGAAAATGTGTTTCCCGAGAAATAAATTACGAGGAAATAAATTCTCCTATTGGGTACAAGATATGCATTGCGAAACTCTTCGAGGAAAAGTATTGCGACTTTTCATCAGCCGACTATGTACGCGTATATCATGCATTATAAAACACACATACTGGGGAAAAAAAATCGAAAAAATAAAAAAGTACTCGGCACTAAACACATATTTACTTAAAATTCTCTTATTTAAATAGAATAAACAATTGTTCTCATGCAAAGTTAAAAATTTGAGGAAACGTATATTTTCTCACCTGACAAAAAGTTTTCCTCAGTGTAAAAACATGTATATCGGCATAAGTGATCGTGTTATAGTATCTACCGAATGAATATTTTTTAGTTTTTACATATTTTTGCTCTGAGTGTAGATGACACATTAATACAGCCTTAGCCGTGAATCAAAGATAGAAAGAAGCGTGCGGTGAGTCGCGAATCACCGAAACCTTTGATTCCAGCGTTAAGAGAGACGACGAAGGATCGCCGACGGTGGGATACCTGATGTTCGCAATTACGCTCGCCGATTTCCCGTCGTCGATCGACTCCCCGGAATATGCCGCGGCCTCGACGTGTCCTCGGGAGTGAGACGAGCGGCAACGTTTATGCGGAATCATGCGCGGTATTCCGATAAAACGAAGCGTACGATGTCGCGCGTGACCTCGTCGGGGACTGCTGAACGATCGCTGCTAGACGAAATCGCGGAGCAATGATCAGGAATACGCGGCTGGTGGGGACCGCGGGTGACAGTCGGCCGAGTCACACGTGCGATCGCCGACACGTGTTATCCAGCAGTAGCGGCGCCGGCGGATCATTGCTTCGCATCGTCGCCTTGAGCCTCTGTTGCGTCATGGCGACCTGCGGCGACTTCAAGGACAGAACGCCACGCAGCATCCAGGACCTGAAGAATGCCATGAAGAACAACAATCTGGCGTCCCTGGGCGAGTGCGACCTGGAGCCTCACTGTGACTGGAGATGGAACCAAACCCGAGGTTTTCAGGTGATACCGGCGCCGGCACGCAGCAAATTCGGCCCGATCACGGACGCCAACAACAGCGAAAACGGTAAGCTCGAGTAAGAAAAATGTATCTGGTCTGAAATAGATATTCTAGCTGCTATATATTCGCCAATAACATTTAAAAATCAGACAGCAAAATTGAGGATGTGCTGTTCTTTAAGATAAAAGTCTTGAAGAAGCAGAAGTTACTTTACCGTCTAGCAATTAGTTGTGATTTTTCATCTCGCGCGACTGTAATTTTTCTTGCTTAATCATCAGCTGACTTATTTATCTACTTACTATGTTTAGCTACTGGAAGAAATGAGTGTTACATTACCTCTAGTAGCGACGTTACACACAAATTGATTACCTCGTGGTTGGACACCCACGAGGTACAGTTTCTACTAGAGAGATTCTCGATGCGGTCGGGATATGCATTTTGTTGGGTAGTATCGAAGACGCCAAGTCGAAGCGACGAGATAACGAGAGCTGAAATGTTGGTATACAGGGTGTCTGTCGCTAAGTGGAACACCCGCCATACACTTGTACTTTGCACAGAGGAATTAGTCTTAAATCAAGAATAGATATTCTCATATATATAAACAAAAATATTATAATTTTCTTAGAAGACTTTCAGTCTTGGTTTGATTAAGTTTATATCGATGTAAGTATTATACTTGAATTCAATTCAAACATTAAGGAACTTCTAAGAATATTATAATATTTTTGCTTACATATGAGAATATTTATTTTGATTTAAAAGTAACCTTTTGTTTTCTAGGCAGAACAGTGTGAGTAAAAAAGTCCTCTACCATTTTGCAAACAATCACGCAAATGTTTGAGTTATTAATTATTGAAAATGGCCCAGCCATAGAAGCTCCTTCAATTAATTTAATAACTCGGAATTTGCATGGTTATTTGCAAAATAGTAAGAATAGAACTTTTTCGCTCGGAATGGCCTGATCTACAAACATACGGCGGTTGTTGTATTTAGCGACAGGTTCAAGGCTCAATGTATCGACGTCCGTCGCCAAGTACAACAGCAGTCGTGTATTCGTCGATTAGGCTACCCCCAACAAAAAAGTCCTTCACTTATTTTGCAAGTAATCACGCGTATTTTCTGCGTTATTAATTACAGGAGCCTCTTACATGGTCATTTTCGATAATCAATGACTCAAAGATTTTGCGTTGTCGTTGGCAAGAGAGGACTTTTTCGTTCGTATTGACTTAAACTACGAGCATATGACGGACCTTGCGACACCTACCTTGCGACACCCTGTAGACAAGGTCGCAGCATCGGTTAGGACTATAATATAAAACTGTGTAGGAGTGTTGCACACAGGTCAATACAACGGGTTGCTTACTTGCTTCGCTGGCAGGCGCGTGCACTCGACACGAGCTCGGATATATCGCGTCGAGTCTATATCCGAGCGCACGCGCCCGCGGCAAAGCGAGTAGGCAACCTGTCACACTGGCCTGTATGTTGACGCGACATCCCGATACACAGCATGGGTTTCGAATCTAATCAGAGCTGCAGAGATGCTGATTGGGTCGTCTCGATATGCTGATCTTTGAAAATAGTATCGATGTCCATTTAATTGAAACGCTTAAAGTGGCTGAAAACTGAATTCTACTTTTCGACCTATTATTATTACATTGCCTATAATTAAATATTATATATTATTATATAATATATAATAAATTATTATATAGTATATTGTATATTATTATATGTAATATAATATAGGTTGATGCAGAGAAGTCTTTCCCCGTAGAATTTCACATTTCACCGATCAGTTGTCATAATTCTATTTGAAGCGTTTTGCTCGTTTCAACATCAGTTCGGTGTTTATGGGAAGAGACTTTTGGATCAGCTTGATACGCACGTGCTCTTCGAAAGGAATTAATTCATAATTTCCCCCTTCCTCCCTTTCGCCCACCAGGCCACTTTCTGTGGTACAGCGGCAGCGGGACGGCTCAAATGTGGTCCTCGATAATCCCTCCCACGAGTTTGCGTTGCACGCTCGAATTGTGGATGCACCAGGTGGCGATGGAGGACGGGGCCATCAGTCTCGTGATAGACACTAACAATGTAAGCTCGGTTACGGAGGAGAAATACGGAAACAATAACGCTAGGTACGGAAAAGAGAGAGAGAGAGAGATTCGCACTCTCGGCTGAAGATAGACGAAGACTGACCCTGTATGTCGTTCCAGGTGGGAGAACATGCGTTTCTTTCTGGGTGCGATCAGCCGGCCCTACAGGTTATTTTTAGAGATACTCCTGCCGTACGCGAACTCGAGCGTCGCCGTCGACAACGTCCACCTCGTCAATTGCTTCCCAGGTAAGTACGCAGGAGAAGAATGATCTATCGCGCGCCGCGACGCGCCACGGTGATTCGACCTTAACAGCTGACCTAACGCGACGATTCCCGCGTTCTTCCGTTTCTCTCCTCCCATCTAGACACACTGAGCAAATGTCGCACGGACGACATGTTCCGCTGCAAAAACGGAACCTGCCTGAGCAGCGTTCGCATCTGCGATTTCGTCAAGGACTGTCCCGACGGCGAGGACGAGACGTTCGAGTGTGGTACGTAGATTCGCGGCGCGATTAGCTCCATCTTCGGGTATCGACTTCGATCGAAATCGATATCCTTGGGTATCGATGCGAGTTTGAGCGATTCGTGAAAAAATACCGTAGACAAGATTCCGGGGAATGCGAGATGCAACTTCGAGGACGGCTGGTGCGGGTGGGCGAACGTCCCCGGGAGACCTCTGAATTGGACCCTGCGCAGCGGTTCCCCGCCGGAGAAGACCACGTCCCACGTCCCCATTGCCGATCACACTTACCGCAATCAGACAGGTGCGCGAGTCAGTTCGAGGATGAAGGAAGAAAAGCGAGTAGCGGTGGGCGCGATGCACACTGAAAAATGAGTTTGGTTCGATCTAAAATGAACAATCAAAGGCCTTTCGGTTGAAGATAACAGAATTTCTGATTGTAAGAGCCAAATTTGGCTTGTGAGAGCTAGAAATTTCGTTTTCTTCGACCGAAACGCGTTCGGTTGCCGATTGCCCAGGCAGATCCAAGAACCAAACTCGGTGTTTCAGTGTAAAGGGGACTACCGAATTCTCGTAATTTCACTCAACGATGAACAATGATCATCGTCGACTCGGCAGGGACGTACGCGTACGCGCAGATGAACAATCGTGTCGCCTACGGCAGCCGGGCGACCATCGAAAGTCCTCTGTACAATCCGACACCACCTTACAGCAGCGATTCCAAAAACCCCTATTATCAAACGTGCCAGGTACGTTGGCGTTCGTCATTTCACGGTCGTCATATGTCGTTATACATCGTTATCGACTCGTCATATATCCAATGTTCACGCCAAGAGATATTCGCGCGGCGGCATTTTCGGCGGGAGAAACACAAGGATAAAAACAATGATACTTTCATTAAAATTACAGTCANTTTTTTTTTTTTTTTTTTTTTTTTAAGAATACAGAACAATAATAGTGACATGCGGATATCGTTGCGCTGAAAAGCAGAATTTCGAGTTCCCAAGAACCAAATTGAATTCTTATCCGATGAAATTCATTCTTCAGCCTTCGGTACATACATTCGTCCGACGAACACGTGAAACGTCTTTCAGATACGCTTTTTCTTCCACAAGTACGGCATGCATAGTTCGTCTTTCGCGCTCTACTTGGTCCAAATAAGGCGACACGGCAATCAAAGCAATGTATTATGGTGGTCCTACGGGAAGGGTAACAAGATGTGGGAGAACGCGGCCATCTCTCTACCTGACATAAGATACAGGTGAGAGCGAGTGCGAATGAGTGAGTGCGACGGTGATCGAATTTTCAGTCTAAAACCTCGACAGTTTCAACGTTTTGACAGAAACTGTCGCCACGGCACATTCGAACTTTACCGATCCACGTTTTTCTGCGACGAGAAATTTCAAGCTCCTCGAAATGCGTATGCGTGTTCGCAGGTACGTCTTGCAGTTCGAGGCGAGCAAGGGATATTCCAAGAACGATATGGCGATTGACGATATTTCCCTGAGCCGGGAATGCTTCGGCATCGGTAACTCCAGCGAATGTCTTCGTATCTCCACTGATCGTACCACGATATTTATACTCTTTCTCTCGCAGGAGTCCCAGCGGATATCGTGGGCAACTTCAACTATTATAACCCCAATATAGAGCTCGAGACGGTGCCGCCGCAGCATTCGGAATTCGCGAACGAGACAGGTATGTGCGCAGAGGAAAAGCTTTCCTTTAAATTTAGCATTTCTATTTATTTCACTAAAATTTGTTTCATAGAAACAACATATACGAAATATTATTCGTTCGTGTAAAAAATTTAATTGTCTCATTCAAGAAAACTCTATTATTTAACAGAAAGAACGCAATTGTTTGAAATAACATCTTTTAATTAAATAAAATATTATTATATATATATATATATATAAAATTAATAAAATATTATTATATATATATATATATATATGGTTAAAATAAATATGCAAAATGAAAGAAATAATCTCTTTATAAGAAAATTATCTTTCGTTTCAAATAAAAAAGTTTTTTTTATTTAAAACAAAGATACATTTTTTGCTGAAGAGTCTAACGATCGTGCTTATTAATCGAAACATTAGTTTCTTCGCAGCGTGCCAATGAAATTCGTTTGGATGCAACGAAATTGATTAAATTTGAAGAAATCTTTTATTCAGTGTTGTGGCGTATCGATCGGATTTCACGTTGAATTCGCAGGCAAATCGTTCGTCAATCATTCAGGATGACTTTCATCAAGCTCTGATTAATCTGATCGACGGTTAACTCAAGGTGATTGACCAATTGTATCGATCAACTCAGCTATTAATCGATCGGTCAATTCCGCTGAATTAATCGTCGATTAGATTAATCAAGGCTTGGCGATAAAGTCACCCTTACATCCGATTCTACCGTCGTGGTTTAAATCTAATCGACGAATAACTCCACGAGGATCAGCCAATCGCATTGGCCAATTAACTGAACTGATCAGCGCGACTGATGCCAATTTCCGTCGAGCTAATCGTCGATTAGATTTAAACCATGATGGTGGAAACGGGAGCATATAAGACTTTTGACGCTACTGGTTTACATCTGTCGACAAAGGTCTTCGTGGGAAGCATTAAATGCATTGGGGCTTTAATAGACTGGCTAGCTTTTGAGACAACGTTTTATATCCCGCATCTTCGTTTAAGTAGCAACTTTTTTATTTTCTTTTAGCATTATACAGCGGACTGTCATCAATCACAAACAGAACGGCTTTTCAGCTTGATACTTCAGACACGGTCGTTACACTGTGAAAAATTCCAGTTACTTTCGGTTACTCAGTTATACCCTTTTTAACCATAAAAATCACAATAGCAATATGCATGTAAGGTCATCTTCCGATATACTGCAGTAACACTTACTGGAAAAATGCTTCTCCCGGCTACAATACTTTCACTGTGACGATTGTAGTTACAAGTAGCAAATATTACCTTTCTCTGATTGTACTTAAAAGAGACGAGGACTTAAAAGCGTTAAGCTCGTTGCCTCGACCCGATAAGCCGGCTGTTCCGTTGAGACCCTTAGTAGTCGCGAGTTATCGTACGTTCGTCATCATCATCATCGATCACCGTGATCCTCCACCGTGCTGCTTCAGTTATCCGAATCACCACCTGCGGGGCTACCGGCAGAAAGGGCCCGACCGCTGAGCAATGCGCCGACGAGTACAACGGCACCGACGTGGAATTGATCGTGCCGTCGTCGTCGTTATCGGATCAGGAGGTCACGTCGAGCCACAATCTGAACGGTATGCAACGGTGGACCGCGCCTCGCGGCGAATACTACACGTTAGTACACGACGAATTGTATCGATCGATTGTCGGTGGCGAAACGGGTCGAGAGTTCGTTTGCGACGAGTAAAGTTACGATTTCTGAAAACAGCCTGATCGCGGTCGGGGCTCGCGGTGGGATGGGCTCCGGCGGTATGGGCAGCACCTTCGGCGCCCTCGTTCGCGGTGTGATCGAGCTGCAGAAGGGTGACCAGCTGTACTTCATGGTGGGTCAGGAGGGAACCGACGCGTGTGCCAAGGTGAGTGCGTTCGGTGCACTCGATCGATTAACCACGGCTGTTAAGCGCGATCCGACCCTATTCACGGTAATCTGGCATTCTGCGACCCATTGTTCACACACTGTTGACCACACACCGGGAGAAAAAATATCCGGGAATAAAGAATATGTCTATTCGGTGAGACTAATAACGTATTTACTTGTACTGATGTATATGTATTTTTACACTGAGAAGAGATGTCCTTCAAACGAGAAAATATGTACATCTCCTTGAATCTTATTGTAACTTTTCACGAAAGCAATTGATTGTTCTATGTATATTTAAATCGAAGAATTTGGATCCAAGTAAATATGTTATTAGTAGATCGAATAGATATTTTTTTCTGTTTTCCATTTTTCCCTCGATGCAATAGTTATTTGTAATTTGTAATCTCGGCTGAAGATCACTGCGAGAAATGGTGGGGACGTTCCGATAGTTCAAGTTAATTGAACTCTGTACCTGCGTATACACACTGCATTGCCAGTAAAGGCAAATTAGACCTATAATTTCGCTCTTATTGTTCATTGTTTTTAATCATCTGTATCGTCATTTAGAGTCTCGGCATGAGGGAGACCTGTCGGTCGTCGGATGAGTCTCACGGCTCGTCGGCGTCGTCCAGCACTTCGGCGAAAGTGCGAGAAGTGAAGAAGATCGTGTTCAAGTACGGCGGCGGTGGCGGCGGTGGCGCGACTGCCGTCTTTATAGTAAGTTCCTCTCTCTCTCTTTTCTTTTCACTTTCGGCGTAAAAATCACGTTGTCTGTGAACGACTGTAGTTAAAGTCAAACGGCGAACTGGAACCTATCATGATCGCGGGCGGCGGCGGTGGTTTGGGGTCGGGTCAGTTCAAAGACGACGGACTGCAACACGGACGCGGTCCCGTTCCCGAAGGGAGCTTCCTACCTTCCTCTTACGAGGTCGCCGAAGGCACAGGTGAGAGGAGACATAGACGACGAGTCGAGTTCAAGCGAGAGAACGTAGATTCGAACACCGTCTTTCTTTTTCCGCAGGCGGACCCGGGGCGAGCTGGAACGGCCAGTGGAGCAACAATTCTGATCGTCAAAACGCCGCGGGGATGTCGCTGGTTCGCAGCGGCTTAGGAGGGATCGGTTGCGAACCGGGGGAACAAGGTCACAGTAACGGGGGCTTCGGCGGTGGCGGCGGCGGTTGCCAGACCGGAGGCGGCGGCGGTGGTTACATCGGTAAGAAGAAATAGAAAATATAACAACAATAAGTGACTTTATCGCGCGCGTGTATATTGAGGAGAGTACGGACGAGTGGTAGTTGTGTGAGCGTATACACGGAGAGAATTTTATAGTATTGAACAATTTACATTACTTATACTTATCGCCGACGTTATGGCAACACTTATTAGAAAAATAGTATTCTCTTGACTGTTTGCGTGGTTAAAATGAAGAAGGATATTGTTCCCGGAAATAATTGTATTTTTCTCTCGGTGTATACAAAAGGCGGGAAAACTGCCGTCAGAATTGCCCATCCTATCGCGATAACTAATAGTGATGGGAAGTAGCGGAAAAATTGCGGTTAGTCGGCAAGAATTTGAATAGACGAGGAAGTGGTTGGCCGGAATAATCACAGCGGGAGATCTCGCACTCGTCTCTGCGAGTCGATTTCTCTGATTCAAGTATCATCGATAGGCGACGATGACGTGTTTTCTCGCAGGCGGTAACAGCGGTCGCAAGCCATCCGGCAATGGCGAGGGTGGTTACTCGTACATCAGCCAGAAGCTGACGGACACCTACTTCAAGGCAGCGACTCACTATGGCCCGGGCGAGGTCTTCATCATATCCGCGATCAGCGGCTGCAACTGCGACTATCGCTGCGTCGTTCTCGACCAATATCTCAGCGAGACCAAGTGTCTCTGTCCTCAGGGCTGGTTACTCAGTAATAATTCCAAGTCTTGCATCAGTGAGTACCGTCACCGGCATTGTCTCTGGCTGTAGGTTTGTTCAGCTGTACTTCTTTCATTTGCTCTCTCCGCTCTGTGCCTCCCTAACGTCCGGGTATACAAGGTGGGGCAATAATTACCATCACCCCGGATATCTTTGCGAGAGCGGAGGAAAAATTGGCCCGACAGAAATTGATACGGACGGTCATCACCTCGAACATCTCCCGCAAATATAAATTTCTTTCATCGTTTCGTCGATACTGAGAAAAAGATTTCTTTCGATCTAATAAATCTTATTGCATCCGAACGAACTTCATCATTGGTGTGCTCCAAGGAAACTAATGCTTCGATCAATAAGTATCGATTGTTAGACTTTTCAACGAATGTGTATCTTTAATAACAAATTCGAAGCGAAAAATGATTTTCTTACAAAGAAATTATTTGTTTCATTTTACGTATTTGTTGTAACCCAATTGTTGTAACCCAAATAATATTTTATTTGGTTAAAAGATATTATCTCAAGTAATAGCGTCCTTTTTGTTAAATAATAGAGTTTTCTTGATGATGAGACAATGAGACAATGAAATTTTTACTCCAACAAATATTTCGTACAAATATGTGTTGTTCCTATGAAACAAATTTTAGCAAAATACTAAATCCGAAAAAACTTCTTTCTCTGTTGTAGCCGTTAGTAAAATATTTTTAATTTTGCGATGATCCCGCGCATTTATCTCACATTTAATATAGAAATTATAAATATAAAAATTGCTAATGGCGCGGTTAAAAACATAGAACGTCTCCGGCACGATATCGATACTAAACGAACGAACGAACGATGAGGAAATTGCACTCCCGAGTGCGGATATGAGCGACATGATCGATCGCCTTGAATTTCAGTGACCAACGAGTCGAAGAGCGTACACTCGACTTACATGATCCCGCTTATAGTCGTGAGCAGCCTGCTCGTCATCGTCGGAATCGGCCTAATACTTTGTAAGTACAAGCGCACCCCCTCGGCCCCCCGTGAGCGTTGCAACGCGTTGATTGCAATCCGAGTGTCCTCCACAATCTCTCCATGAACTCGTTAATCTCTTCTTTGCGTGTTTTTTTACGTGAAACTACTCCACAATTCTTGTCCGCTCTAGATTTTTCGATAAATAAACGGTTCCAATGTAAAAAAGCACTTCTGCATCGCCGTCAAATGATACTCGGCAACGGCACGGAGTTAACGGCGCTGCACGCGATGTCGGGCACCTTGATAACCGAATTCAACCCCAACTACGAGTTCGCCGGCAATCTCTACAGCTTCAAGGATCTGCCGCAGATACCCCGCGAATGTATTTCCTTAACGAGGTTGGTATAAGTGTGCACCGCTCAGGCCCGGTTTTTCATCTTCCGCTTAACTTGTGGTTTAAATTTAAACTGACGATAATGTAAAAATTGTGCTTCTTTTTCTCATTTATGGTTAATCATTAAACCGATGGCTTTGCAGCGGTAACTTTTAAGATTTAGTGATTAACCGTGAATAGAAAAGCATAATTTTTACCGTTATCACCAGGTTAAGTTTAAGCCACAATCGGAAAATGAAAAACCGGGTCTCAGAGAAATTCTAGTTATTTTTGGTTTTAATTACAAAAATAATAATAGCAACATGCATGTAAGGTTATTATTATTGAGAATATAGTAACATTTACTATAAAAATGCTGCTGACTATAATTCTTTCATAATTCTTTTCATATATATTTATGGTATTATAATTAGAAATCAATATTTATTCTTCAGTGTATGTTGTAATGATAACAATTATATGAATTCACTAATAAAACTTTGACATCACAGTCGGATATATCGGGCTTGATTCTCTCGATTACTCGCACACACGAGTTCTCCGACTTTCTTCTCATTCGAATCTGAGATGACAAGATCAAGAAATGGAAATTGTTCGTTTTGCTTGTAAAATAAAGTCGTGAGTTGAAATGAAGCCGATAGGTTGATCGTTTTTTTTTTTTTGACGCAGGCCGCTCGGTCAAGGTGCTTTCGGCGAAGTTCACGAAGGCCAATACAAATATAGACGCGGTCAACACCCGGTCGCGGTGAAAACACTGCTGACGTTATCAACGCCGCAGGCGGAAGCGGATTTCATGATGGAGGCGTTGATAATGAGCAAATTTAATCACACTAATATAGTACACTTCATCGGGGTTTGCTTCGACAAACATCCCAAGTACATCGTTCTCGAGTTACTGGCCGGCGGTGACCTTAAAAATTTCCTGCGCGAGGAAAGGCCTCGACGGGTAAGCATTGTTATTATCGCTTTTCGTCAATGTGCGTGAATACTGTCTCCTCAATCGATATCGCATTTGCTGAAAATAATTGTCAGAAGTTTAAAGTTCCAAGGAGCCGCCTTGCACGGCGTATTCATACATTGAGAGAAAGAATATTAAAAAAAATGAAGAACTATCAACTCAATGGGTACTGATAACATATTTACTTGTATCAATATACATATTTTTAACCTGAAAAACATTTTCAAATGAAAAAAATATATACTTTCTTTAACACGTTGACTGCCACGGAACTTTTCACGATTCTTGTCTAAGAAGCCAATTTGATTTAATCGGGTAATGAAGCGACGAGATAACTCGTAGTTGGCGTCCTGGGCAAGTAAACAACCTACGAGATATCTCGTAGTTGGCAGTCAACGTGTTAAATCCGTAGATTTGTGTGGAGGCAATTGTTGATTGTATTTAAATAAAAGAATTTAGAGAGAGAGAGAGAGATTTAAATAAATATGTTATTAGCGCCCACTGAGTACATATTTTTTTATTTTTCAGATATTTCTTTCCTTCGATATAATCAGATCTTATATTTAAGATCGTCTCGAGTACATCTTCAGGTGCTTTGTAACCAATGAAACGATCCGTATAGTACTTGAAGATGAACCTGAGAGAATCTTAAATCTAAGATTTGACCGTGAATATCGGCCTTAGAAAGTCGATTTCGCCCAATCCCTAACGTTCGCGCGTGCATTCTTGTCCCTCACAGGATCGGTCTACGACGCTGACGATGCGCGACCTCGTTATGTGCAGCTTCGATGTCGCGAACGGTTGTAAATACATGGAGGAGACGCGCTTTATACACCGCGACATTGCCGCCAGAAATTGCTTGTTGACAACCAAAGGTCCGGGGCGCATCGTGAAAATCGCGGACTTCGGCATGGCGAGGGACATCTATCGGGGCGATTATTACAGGAAAGGAGCCGGGACGGTGCTGCCCATAAAGTGGATGTCACCTGAGAGCCTCTTTGACGGCATATACACCACGAAGAGCGATGTCTGGTGAGATCGTGCTTCTACCCATCCCATTTAATCGTGAAATAAAATCAATATCGAGCACTAAATGCGAGCGTTTTATCTATTCATCCACGTGATCGCATTTCTCGGAAAAGTAAAGATTTAAAACACGGGATCTCTGATTAAGACTTTCCTCCTGGTTGATCGGAGGGTACAAATCTCACTTCGAATACGAGGAAGATCGCGCAAATATTGCGAAATTCCAAAGAGAGATGAATCATAACGTAAGATTGGTTTCTAGGTCCTTCGGCGTTCTTCTATGGGAAATTATGTCGTTCGGATACACACCGTACATAGGATTGGGGAATCAAGATGTGATTAAGATGGTGAAGACCGGCGGTCGACTGGGGAAACCCGTTGGATGTCCGGATCCGATTTACGGGATTATGATGAAATGCTGGCGCGCACGGCCCGAACGAAGACCGAATTTCAGCAATATCGTCGAGAGGATCGGTTACTGCTTGCAGGTGAGCATAATCGGGGATATCGCGAACTACCGGTGGTTATTTTACACGATCCAACGGAAGGGGAGGAGATCTGACGATTCTTTTTTTTCGATTCCTCAAAGGACCCCGACGTGGTGTGCGGACCCACGCCTAAATACGACGTACTTCCTACCGAAGAAGGAGAAATAACCATGTGGCCGGACCCAGAGGCGGAGTGCATCAACGTGCAGTCTGACGTTAGTACAGTTCGAAAATAACTCTCGGGAGGTACTTCCGCGATGTGTAAGTCCGGCACATTAATACGAGGAAGGTATACAATCGCCGATTGTCCGACAGTTGGACGTATGCGGCTACGTACGACCGAGGGTCATCGATCCGCGATCCGTGGCGCACCACGTAAACCAAGCCGTAGCTGGTGGTACCGTTTACGACGCGGAGACTGAGAAATCGAACAGAAGCGGCGAGTCGCACTGCAGGGCCTTCGCGAGATCGACGGAGTGCCGGCAAGGGAAGTTCGGTTGCAACGCATGCGATCCCACGGACACCTTCGAGCGAATCTACAGCGGTGACGATCACGACGACGGCGACGACGAGTACCGGAAATTACCGGAGATTACCAAGACTGCCGGGGAGCGCAAGGTACTTCTCACATACACGCTTATCCTTCGTCATTTTAATCAACCTGCGATGTTGCGTGCAGTTTTGTAAACACAGATGGCAGCTGTTTAAAATCACAATTGAGCGGAAAAGTATTTCGATTTGCAAGGTGCCAATTGAAAATGTGTTAAGCTAAAAGCACTGAATTCATTCGCATCATTTAATATTAATTATGTTAATTTCAAACTCTGTGTGTGTGTGTGTGTGTGTGTGTGTGTGTGGAAAATATACATATATTTTTTTTTTCTATTCTATACACATACATATATACATACATACATACATACATATCTTTCTCTTTCTCTGTCTCTTTTTTGATTACCAATACCGCATACAACATTTGCTATTTTATCTTGAAACGAAGAGCAAATTTGGTTGGCGGGTCACTTGTGTTACTTGAGAAAGTAACCAAATACGTTGGCGGACGATCGTTTCTGGTTCTACCGTGGCGGCAATAATGAAAGAAACGTGCGATCCGCAGGGGAAACACCAAGGTGACCGGCCGAATCGGCCGGACCCGAGGACAATACATCGAAGCGAGAACATCGAAGAGCGCGACAACCGGATCAATGAAGAGAACGGCAACAACCGTCCAGAGGAAGAGGAGGAGTGTCACCTGACTGCCAACACCGACAGCGCGATGACGGATCGCAGGAACGGCAATGAGAGTACAACGACTACTGACACCAATTCCGATTCCCTGATCGTGCAGTCCTCCGACACGCCGCCCAACACGACAACGAACTCGTCGCCCAACACGCGCACTTGTTCGCCGAGTCGCGTCATCGGCCTCAACTACGCAAACGTCAACAACGCGAACGGCATGGCGAAGAAGAGCACGTTGAAGGCGACCCTGAGTCTGGACCCGAGCGCTCTTTACAGAGGCGCTATCCCCTACGAGAAGATCACCAGGCATACGCAACGCTCGAGCACGCCGGGCAGTATGGAGCTAAGGAAGGTAACTTGACCTCCTCCCTACCGGCGTCCTGCAAAGTTTCCATCCGTAGATGACCGAGCTCGTTGATCGAAGGTACTTAACGCTAAGGGTGACCTTCACCAAACTCCGATTAAGCTGACCGACGATGGGCCGACGGGATTGCCAACAGCCATTTCTGGCTATGCTAATTTATTTCGTCCAACGATAACCAGGAAAATCAATATAATTTTATCCATGTTAGTAAAATAGAGTAAATAATACCGATGGCATTTTTTTTTTAAATAAGGCTGCAAGGAAAGAACGAAAACATTCGCTTTTTCGTTCTAACGACAAAGCTCTAACCCTTATTTTCCACATTGGCAATTCTCCGCCGACCGAGTCAATTGTCAACTAGATTAATCAGAATTTGGTGAAAGTCACTCTAAAATGCATTCGTTCATCCATCGACGATTTCAAGCTTTCACGACGCGATGGAGGGTTCGCTTTGGGAAGAAAAGGCGCATATAGTTCGAGCGGTGATGATAGTTTGAGGCTAATCGATTCTGAAGGCTCTCGGTGCCTCGCGTACAGCGGAAAGAATTACCCGGCAAAACGAAAGGAACCGTCGAAGCCACGATGCGAGTGTCAACGATTTAGATTTCTCGCGTCAATTTTCTCAAGTGTGAACCCCTCGATCGCAGTTTAACAACGACTTTCGGAACAATTAGAGAAACAAATATTTCCGAAGAAACTTTCACGAAACTTCCATTACACGGTAAACATTTTTATATAAATAATGATTTACCGAAATTGTTGTATTACTTTGCAAGATGAATGTGTTAAGAAGTAATATGTTAACAAGGCGAATACGTTAACGCATATCCGTGTGTTTTTCAAGCATGTTCCCATGTTGAAGTAAGTAAAAAAAAACATTTCCGTGGGTTATTCGTACAAAATTTTTCACTGTGATTTTCACTGAAATGTTATTTCCCATCTAAGTTTGATAACGCACGCCTGGTCAATGGCGGGTTCTTACATTGCATTAGCAGTTGCAGATGCTCATAACGCATATCATCAAGACGTATCTCTTCTCCACTTCTCATCGCTGACGAGAGATTCTTCCCGCTTTTCTCACGCTCATATATCCCTCGCTTTTTTCTTTCTTTTCTAAAACCGAAGGACTCCCTGAGTCACGAGTTACCGCGGGAGGAGGAATGCTCCTGCTGAGATTTATCCGAGGGGGGTTGACGAGGCTCCCCGAAGACCGCAGTCGCGGCCGGGCTCAGCTGCACCGCCGCTCGCCGATTGCAGCTGCAACGATCGGCCACGACGACTGCGGTTACGACGGACACGCAACTCGTGGAACTCTCCTCGCCGCCGTGGGCCTACGACAACGAATACTCGCGTCGTTTCTACTCTGAAGAGACCCTGCTATGAAGACCGGAACGAACCCGCCCCATTTCGTAACGAGCTGCTACTCGCGATTCGGCTGCGAATAGTAACCGAATCGTCCTGCGTGACGCGAACCGGGACTGTTTTTCTGCCTCTGTATGTGTGTGTGTGTGTGTGAAAGAGTGACTTTTTTTTTCGCGCGAGTTTCCAACCGGACGAGAGTTCGTTGTTGAGCTGTAATGTAAAAGTAAGGCCGATCATGTATATACGGAGGAGGAGGCAAGAGATACTACGAAAAATACGTAACACTTGTATTCAAACGCGTTACATCGAGATGATTTCCCCATCGAGCTTATTTCGTAAGCTTCCTAATTTCGCGACCGACGGTCGGGAGTTGCGCTGCGCGATGCCGGCGGATGATCGCGGCGAACTTCCTATTAACATCTACTCAGGACGCGTGACTCTTACGGGCGAAACGATCGTGCCGGGACTTGTACGAAATATACGTGGCTGGTTCTAATTGAATTGGAAGTGCGAGCGTTCGTGCGTAATGTACATATGTATTCGTACGTGTAAAACTCTAAAGCGCGCGTGAGTAGTTTTGTCTTCGAAACTAAAGTGTCACCGGTCGGGGGAAAATTGTGTCGTCTAACCAATCGGAGAAATCGTTGATGGGTAATCGTTGATGGGTAATTGTATCCGGTTCCGACCTCTCGGATCCGACAAATGTGTCATGGCTGTCGAGTAAAAATATTATACCGTAAATACTTGATGTAAAAGTCTCCGTAGGCTGACTCTCGTCTACCTCGTGACTCGTCTCTAGCCGGAGAACCAACGACGATGAACTCGAGCCTCTCTCGTTGTCACCATCGCCATGTTGCAGAGCGAACGAAGGAGTGAGCGAGCGAACGGGCGAGCGAGAGAGTATTTTGTAGGGAGGGGGTGGGTGGGCGGCTGGATAGGTTGAGGGTGGGGAGAATAAAAAGAGCACGAGCCCTTTTTTATTTTTCTTACAACGACGACGTACTTTACTTACGTGCGCGTAGCGTATGAAAGTCAACCACTATGTATCTGTACGTGAAACGTAATAAAGGCGTGTTTGTGGAAAGGAATGCGCTCTTCCTCATACGCTCCCCACCTCGAGACGGTCGTCTTCTCCGCCCGATTGGCGAGATGATCGGATCGACTATAGAGATCTTCCAATTTAGATAATTGCGACTCAAAGTCAAATAAGACAAGGGAGAACACGTTGCGCACGGAGAGGAAAGATCGGTTGAATTAACGCGACAAACAATGAGATGCTTTGTTTCCATCGAACGGAACAGAATTTCCCGGTTCTTTTCAATCGAATTCGGCTCTCGGGAGCAAACATTCTGTCCTCCTTTAACCAAAAACGCATCCGGTTTGCTCGTAAGTCGTCATACTGATTCCACCGATTTTCTTCTTCTTCATGTAAATACCAAAAATCTTCTCTTCGTTGCGCGCTTGAAATGAGACTTCTCTCTTTATTTCCTTTACATTGAATATCGAGTCTCCCGACTAAATATAAATTCCGTCAATAAGAGAACAGTCATCGCGGGAGATTAATCGCGAAATTCCTCCGCCCGTCTATCGTTCTTGATCTCTCTCTGGCGATCGTTGCGATTGTCGTCAGAGAGTCGCCGGTCAGCAGACTGCTCAATCACGCTTCTCTGGCAGTGTCCGCCGGACGACGGTGCGCGATGTCATCTTGGAAAGCTTCGTAGTTTTCTGCGTAAACGTCGGCGGGCCGGCTATATATATACGCCTATGCACACGCATATGCGGACGTAGATAATACATAAAGAAGGCACAGTGCCGACAAGCGTACACACGCGCCTGACACGCCGCGAGGGAGAAGAGGGTGCAGTTGTCGTGACGATTCGTGCGCGGTGGTCGGATGAAAATTCGCGCGCGGTTTTCGCCGCGTTAGGGTGCCGTGTCCGCGATCTTGATTCTTCCCCTCGACGAGATCGTCCGATCTCCGGTCCCGGACGAGATGCTGAGTTACTCGTACTACTACGTGAAAACCATCGTCGAGGGCGACCAGCCGCCGAAAACGTACAAATTCGCGAAAGGGTAAGCCGTAAGCGTGCGCGCCTTAATCTCCGCGTGTCGTGTACGTCCGTATTTAATCGCGAAAGTGAAATTCGAAACGCCCCAAGAACCACGTGCGGAACATAAACCGTTCCATGTTCCGCCCGCGATTTATTTCGTTTTCTTCTAAAAGTCCCTTTTCTCTCTCTCTCTCTCTCTCTCTCTCTTTCTTTCTATCTCTATCTCACGTGCGCTCTCGAGAAGAGGATCCTGAAATATATGCGCCGACCAGTATCTTTCTTCGGGAATTCATATTTATAGTTAGGAGAGCCTCGATATTAAATATGGGAAATAAAAGGAGAAATCTCATTTCTTAAGCATGCAATGAAGAAAAAATGTCTGGCATTTACACGGGGAAAAAAAATTTGGTAGAATCAACGAAACAACTTATGAACAAAGCAGACGCGTTTTCGTTAAAGGAAAGAGAAATTTTGGCTCCTAAGGACCGAATCTGATTCAAAAGAACCAGAAATTCCGTTTCGTTCAATGAAAACGCCGTTCGGTTCGTTCATTGTCCGTCACGTTAATTTAGTCGATCTTTCTTCTTTCTCGTGAGTAACTATAATCGTGAAAGTGAAAGAATTACAATCAGGAGAATTATTTTTTTTAGCGAGCTATTGCCATCGCTATATTTCGAGCTGAGAAACCAAACGAGAAAATATCGAGCCGAGGCCGAGAATGAGTAGTATAACTTTAGGATTTCTCTCTCAGCGCGAATAATCGTACGCCGTGGCAGAAAACGACACATTTTTCTCTGCTCAGATATCCCGTGCAACCGACGAAGGGCGCGTGGTCAACGGTGGGCCGCTACAACCTTCTCTCGCGATTGCTGCGAGGAGGACTTTCCGGCTCCGGCGATGTCTACCACCCTGCCAATACCACTTTCAAGGTTCGTTATTGCACACACTGTCGTCACGCATTACATCGATATCGTCGTCAAATAATCCTTCGAATCTTCCCCGTGTGGCAAAACTCCCGTTACGTTGCGAAGGATAAAATCTCTCATGAGATTTCTTTGTTGCCTCTCCTCGGAGAGGAGTGGAATTTGTACCGCCGGTTCGATCTCGAACGAAGATTGCGACCCGTTGAATCTGTGAGTTAAGCCGAAGGGATTTGCCACAGGATTCCGTGCGGCCGCTCGGCGGAATACCTTCCCCTTGTTTTCGCCCTTTGATATTCCCCGGGCTCATTGACGGTCATGAACATTCCGCGCGGGCCATGCGCGGTCGACGACGCGGCGCGCGACGACTAAAACTAAAACTAGTCTCGCACAATGTGTCTCTTCTAATCGCGCGCGCGCATTCTCGCCGGAAGGAAGATTTTTTTCTGGCTTTCTCTCTCTCTCTCTCGCCCTTGGCGCTCCTCCAAATTCACTTTTAAACGTAAAACAAACCCCCTCACGTGAACGCGAACGCGGGGGACTATAATACGCGCCGCCGCCGGCATATATTTTTAGGACCAAGTCGCGTCCAAGGTTCTCCTCCCCTCGCGTATTCACTCCGCTTGTCTTCGTGATGTTTGCACAACAACTTTAATCTCGCACGATCCTCCTGATACCACGATGATCCTCCGGCTGGATCTCCGGCCTCGAGTTGATACGATGATATTTGTCTTCGTTCACGGATGGAGGCGGCCGGTGAAAAATTACAACCGAAAATTAGGCAAATTTTGTTCCCGCGTTTTTCGCTCTTTGAGTTATTTCACTTACGTTTTCTTAAATCTCTCCACTTCGGTCTTGGGTCTCATTAAAAATAACTTTCCGTTACACGGAGATGTCGTTAAAGATGAAGTACGTAAAATTAATATTAAAGAGATTTTCACCAGTCGTAAAAAATAATAGAGTCGAATTTACATGCGTATCACAGGCATATTAGTAATAAATCAGAAAGAATTTGTTACGATGTTTCTTGATGACGCAGAGCTCAATTCATGTGTTGTTTTGTAAACATTTGTGCCTCGATCACATTCAGAGTGCCATTAATATTTTTGCAAATGTTGCTGTTGCGAAATAATAAGCGTTTCATCTCTGTTGGCAACGCAACGGTGCGGAACTCTTTCCATACCGTGGCCAAAGAATGTACATTCGTGATTTACACTGACAACGAATCTGACATGCGACTTTAATTCAATTGACTCATTGATACTCAGCTTGATAAACGTGTTTCACAGACGATAATTTGTTTACGAAACGTTCACAAAGCACGATCAGATAGGTAAAAAAAATACTCTCCCGAGCTTCCCCTTCACGACGCAATGAATCATAGCTTCTTCACAATTCCCGAAATAACTTTCGTGAAATTAGTCGGTCGCGAACACGTGGCTTTGACTCGAGCTCGGGACGTAAAGTCGCTGCAGGTTTTACATGTAACCAAAATAACGAGCCATCTCTGCGTTTTAAAATCTCAAGGAGGAATGACGCGAGTTAAAGTTTTCTTAAAAATAAGCAATGTAGTGCATAAGCGAGCGAGCGAGCGAGGTACATGAAAGGGAGGGGAATTATGTAATTAATAAAAAATTATGCGATTAGAAAATTATTTAAAAATAAACGGTGGCGGAATTATATCATTTACGTGTTTTTTTATACGATACGACAAAATATTTGTCTTTATCGTATAACAATCCGCATTTCTTGAGATTTAATTGCGATCCAGTCCAATTTTCAGAAATAATTATGGATTCTGTTAGTTTAGGGAAATCTACGTGGGTTCTAATTAGAAGTGTAATATTTTAAACATAGAATTTCAAGCGGGAAACGTAAAGAAATTCTAATTAGTCACCCTCAACATGTTCCCAAAGATTTTTCCTGATTTTCAATTTACATTACAATTAAGCAAAATATATGAAACATTAAGTATTTACACTTTACAAGTACACACACAAGCTTTGCGCGCGCTATTAAATATAGTAACATTAAAAATACAACCCCGTTTATTACTTCCCCCTTTCCATTTATTTTAACCTGATATTCGATCAAACTGTAATTCGACTCGGGCGATAACAGTCGCATGCGGCATGAAATAAGTTGTAACGCACAACCAATCAGCATCGCGGAAAAGAGTCTTTATCCCGTGTTTATAATAAGAACGGGATTCCCAATTGAAGGTGCAAAAAACCCTCCGTTTTTTGAAACTGTATAATATCAACAAAAAATAGTTTTGCAAAGTTGGCAAATTTGTTTCACGAAAATTATTTAAATATATAAAGATCATTCTATTAGTGTATTTTACAAATAGTTGTATAATACAAACAGTTTTCTCTTGATACTGTACAATTTCAAAAAAAATAGAGCTGACCGACTTGCGAGTCCTTCAATTGATAGTAGTGGGATAACCTATTTTGGGATAATTTTGGGTATTTCAATCAGAATCTGAGCTATAGTAAATATACGGGAAAATCTGGGGAAATTTCCATACGGGATAATACTGACAATACCGTCTTTTCATTCGCGCAAAAAACAATTATCACAACGGCAGACCGGAGAACCGGTTCTCCCCGAGTCGCATCTTCTCCTTCGTTCGGCGAAATTCGTGACAATTCCTTATAAGGCAGTGTTTTGTACAATTACATGCGTAACACAGCAGTCTCGTGACCGGCGCCGCGCCGCCGGCAGCATTACGACGCCGACGTATATCGAGCGGGGGAGAGGACTCGATCCCATAACGGAACGAATCCTGAACGGGTACGTTGGCCAGTGTCCCACGCGCCTCGCTCGTTCGCGTTTGCCACAGCTGGACCGCCTTGCGAAAAATCTCCGTCCGTTGCTCGTCGTGCTGCTGCAGTCGCGTCTGCAAATTGCAGCAGCCTCCTCGTCGTCGAAGAAACGATATCGCATCGGTGATCCGCGAAACGCGACACTCGCGATAGGAAGAGTCCTGCGCTGATGAGGACGACGGGCATGACCCGGGTAATTCTAGACAGTGCGCTGGACGTGACGTCGTAACGGAAGCTTCCGGTAGAAGAATTCATGTAATCGCGATTGCACATAATGATATTGTAATTATATATATATATATTATAATATTGTATTATATATATATATATATATATATATATTGTGTAATACTCTCAGAACTTTGCAAATCAAGGTTCGATAGGACCCAATCCGGCCGAAGAGTACGGAGAAAACAAATTTTGCTAGATGTAGCAAATTGTTTGTCAATATAATATATAGTCAATATAGTACATTATATATAATATAGTCAACAGCAAAAAAAGAAAAATTTGTTTAGACAGCAAAAAATTTGTTTGGACAGCAGAAAGATTTGTTAAAAGTATTAATTGTTATTTGCTGGATATATAGATTAATATAATTAATAATACTCTTAACAAATCTTTGCTGTCCAGGCAAATTTTTTGCAAAAGAGAGATCCAGAATAATTTTAAACAAATTTTTTTTTGCTTTCACTATATTGACAAACATTTGCTGCATCTAGTAAAATTTGTTTTCTCCGTGAGAGAGATGCATTATTAAATATAACCTACGCTGAGAGAAAAATATTGCTATTTTTCGGGGGCAACGATATCCTTTTTTCATTTTAACCACAAAAATAATCGAATAATTTTTCTAGTAAGTGTTACTATAGTGTTATGACAGTAATTTTACGTGCATGTTGCTAATACTATTTTTGTGGTTGAAATAAAAGAAGGATACTGTTTTCCCTAAAAATATCTATATTTTTCTCTCGTGGTGTAGACCTACCGATATCCGTTTTGGTAAGAATCAGACCCCAGATTTGGCCCGGATCAGTTTGTCGGCAGGAAACTGATCCGTGCTCGGGTCTGACTTCGCCAAAGCGGACAAAGGTCGACATAGATTATATTTTATAATGAATCTCTCGGACTGAATCGGATATTATCGGGCCTCGATTTGCGAGATTCTGGTTGATGCTGGGTCAGTCAAAACATTCGGTTTGATTTTCAAGTCAAATTTAACTTTATCACATCCAAGTGGAACCAAATTACCAGTCAAACAATCGCTGTTTATAATCTTTCGCCAATATTCATGTAGACCCTTATTGGAGAAGACAGTCGATTTAGCAAAAAAGGCGGAAAATCGAGTCGAACTTTTCGATTATGTGCGACTCAGTATATTTTGTATAATTACAGTCATTATGAATTGCTATTATGATTATGAAGTGTGTAATTGGATAATGTGACGTTACGCAAGTCCCGATACGAAGCAGGAGTTGTTAGAATAATTTTTAGCTGCAAAATATCCGCCAATTATCCGCAACAACGTAATTGTATGTAGAAAATTGTCTAGCTGATAAGCGATAAGCTATAAGCCAGCTAATAAGCTGTAAGTTTCATAAGTGCTGAAAAGTGCTTCGCTTAAAATGTTTTTTTCCGTTCCACTGGCCACGATCGTTAATTTCCGCTGATTTAAAAATTAAGATCGGTCGTCTGACTGAAATTAATTGCTTCGGTGACAATGACGTTGCCATAGGCTCAATTGTAGTTATCAGTTAAAATTGATCATTCTATCGTAGAATTATTCCCCGCTGTAATGGCTCTAGCCAGCTGATGTGTAGTAACGGTACTGTAGTAATTGCAACGAATTGCTTGGCAGATTGTACCTGAATCTGTGTACGGGCGTGAGATGAAGTTTCATCTTCAATATATCGGCACACTGACCGTGACACATTTCGTCCAAGTGGCGTGTTTTCCGCACGACGGCGCGCCTTTGAATCGATAACCGTATCTCAACTTTAATGCACCTGAAAGGGCGCGGCTTGTTGCAAGAGATCAGAGAGTAGTGTAAAGAATGGGCCACGGAAATATTTCACTTTTCTATGAAGAGTAATTTCTCGTGGGAGCTTCCTTTTAATTCATCAATATTAATGAAATTATTTAATATCCTCTGATAAATTCGCAGAATTTCGTGCACGTGTTTCTGAATGTAAATTTATTACATAAATTCCTTTGACGCGCGTGCTGGGGTCGGTTAAACAATTCGATTCGACTTATGAGTAAATCTTTTATTTTGTTGCGTCGTGGACGAAAAATGATTGTATATGATTACATACAGTCATGCACGGGCGAATTTCATACATGATCCTTTTTTTCTCCGGGAAGCGGAGAAAAGCGTCATCGATAATTATCCGATGATTCATATTCATTTCCGCTTTTAATAGAATTCATTCGAATTAAATTGGTTCCTCGATAACAATAATGTTCCCGTTATATTGTCACGATTTCCGTTCCGTGTTTGCGCGAACATCTGCGCGCGATATACTTATTTATCTCGCGTGCGACGCTGTAAGACCCGCGTCGTTAGCAAACGCGCTCGGAGCAGCAATGTGTGGCACGTGATACAATTTCCGACGGTAATAAAGGTTACGAAATGCGATAACGTGTATGCGTACTCGCTGGTAATGTAAATGTAAATTCTGATGCGGCGAGTGAAACGCGACCATGTGTCGCGAGAGGAACAATCGTCGTCGTTACGTGTGCGTCGTGACGCAAGTGGGCAGCGACTTTTAAGCAGACGCCGATTAAGTCGACCGTGACGTAGCGAACAGAGTGATTCCGCGAAACGCGAGATAGTTCCAATTTCCTCAGGTGGTCGTAAAAGACGAGAGATAGGAACGCGCCCGGAGACGCCATTCGGCCTCGACTCGAGGAACACCGCAGGTGCGACAAGCGCGTGACGCTCGCGTACTCCTCGGGCTTTGTCGTCGTTGCGTTTAAAAAAAATTGTAATCACGCGTGATTACGGACAATTGCCAAGATTATCGGTATGTGTGGAAATTGCTGGACAACAATGAGGATCCAGGATACAAGCGAGTTATATTAAGGTGCGGTGAACGAAGACAATCTCTCGTCAAGATAACGACCGACTGTCGGTGACTCGTCGAAGTTGAAATTGTTGATCTTGGCGCCGCCCCAAACGCACCGGCAGTGCATTTCGGGCATCTGGCGTGAGTAAACGTCCGGTTGATAGGTCTCTTTCGTAGTCCCAACTTGAGTGAATCGAATAGAATAGCAGCAGTAACGACGGCGTCTCGATCGTCACATCCGTTTTCTCTTTCTCTTGAGAAATTTCGAGCAGTTATCCTGCCGAGTTAATTTGACAAACGTAATTTGCATTGCTTCGGATTACGAATTTTCTTGTTTATAAAAGGACACTTACTATTGGTCAAAAAACAAACTTACAACTTACTGTTCACAGCCTTGAGTTCTCAGTATAAATATGAGATATGTGATAATTACGAAGCACTAATAAATATTAATATATCGATTTCGGCGGGTGTATATCAGGAGGAATCGGGGAGAGAAGCGGAACTGTCCAGAATCACCCGGAACGCAGTTTCGTAGGACGTAGTTTCGAGTAGGATGTTATTGTGTGCGCGTGTCGGTGATAATAAAAGCCTTGTATTAGCCATAACCTTGCGACCTCGATGACAAACGGCGATATCGCCGGTTCGAGAGTGGTATCGGTAAAAAAAAAAAAGTGAGGTTAACCGGCGACGAAGAACGATCGCCGATTCGTCGGGGGAAACACATGATCGGTGGGTTTCACGACTGATACGGCCGAGCTTAATTGTTCTCGTGTGCTTTCGGCGACACCATCGTGAATCATCGCGATAAGGAAATCGAGTGAATCAGGATGAATACGTACGGATGGAGCAGGGAGATATACGAGCCGGAGTTTGTGCGGCAGGAGGCAGGGAACGTGGAAGTGAGTATGACTTTGTGGCGACTTCGTTGTTCCGGGTTTTACCGTCTATTGCGAGTTTCAAACCCGATGTGTAATTAGCGCGAACACCGCGTGATCCCGTTAATTACGCGAGAACGCAAGGACGACTCTCCGTCGCTCTGAATTCGCGCGCGCGTTAACACGTTGAACTGAGGCGTCGCGCGTCGTTGAGTCGTCGAGCGTCACACAGATGGCGCGGCGAGGTTAAGCCGCGTGCACACTGGATTACGCGCGTGCGGCATGACGCATAACGGATGATGTCCTTCTTAGGCTGCGCTGTGTTCTAATTTCCGTGTTCCCAGCGAGATAGGCATGCACCGGTGAGCGAAGCGGAGGGAGAAAGGGAGGAGACAAAGTTGCGACGGAGTGTAGAAAGCGCAGACGCGGAGAACAGATCCGCAGCTCACGAGGAAGTCTCTCTCTGAGACGGGAATCCCGATTTTCCTGACGAAATTGATCAAAGTAGAGCTCCGGGAAATCTTCTTTTCCAAGATTCCAAAGCAGTTCGAGCGAAATTCCGATCGATCTTTTCCTCTTTACCGTGCCAAATACGCGCTCGATACTCCGCATTTTCCTCCTACGTCATTCCGTTTTATTCCGTTACGTATTTGATCTTTCTCCGATTATTTGGTAAAGTAGTTACCACACTCTCACTCGAAACAAACTTCGACAAAACGTGACGTAGTGCGTACAGCGGAAGGACTCATTTTCTGATTATCCGGGAACAAGTTCCATCGAACACGTGAAACTTGCCGAGACTCGCGTGAAATTCGCGTCCGCGACAGTCCACGGTGTGACGCCGGTGAGGACGCCTCCGCCAATGAGAGCGCACTTTTACGCTTCGACGCGGGAGTCGTGGCACCTCCGCGGCGGTGCGCATCTAGCCGTGTCGCGACGTGTGACGAAACACGGCGAAGGCGAAGGGATACCATGGGTGAGGGTATGCCACCGCGACGGCCATGGCCGGCTCCATGGATCTGTTCTAAAGGCTAACGGTTTCACATCCGCACGAGAGCGATAGAAAGTCGGCTCGGTCTTCTCACTCGCCGTGATTCGTCGCCGATCGCGCGATCTGTGTCGGCGTGTGTGTCATCGCTCGCATTCGCGGTGTCGTCCCGAGATCATCGTGGATCGATCAGTTCGCGAGAGAATTCGATCGCGGCGAAATCCCGAAAACCCCTGTGGGACGTAGTCAAACGACGGAGCTGACACGATGAGTTACTACGGAGATTACGGGGGGTTCGGAGGAGGCTTGAAAGACGTGTTCGTGAAAGCGGAGGTCGAGGTCAAGCGGTTCCTGCCTTCGCTCTTCAACATCAAAGTGGTACGCCGCAGAGCACTAATTGGTTTTTTTTTAGGCTAAAAGTTCAGCTTGCTCGCTCTCGTACCGGAAGCATCGTTCCGTCTTCTTTCGGCATGTAGTGAGAAATAATGGTGAAGCGACGATTTCAGTAAAATATGAAGTCGGCCTTGGGATTTAATGATCGCCGGCGGATGAGTCGAGATACGTGTGCTCGCTACTGCGAATTAAATTACTGTCATTACGAATCCAGGCGGAATAAATTTCTAAGAGATGTCTTAAAGACGTCTGAGAAATATCCAGGGAAACTAGAGCGTCCTTTGGACATCTTTAAGGAATTTCTTCCGTCTAGGAATGCACAACGTCCGAATCTCTCTCGTTTGCGTCGCTCCGTTTTGACGTCGTGCAAGCGTGCGCATCTTTGAAGATACTTGTAGTCTAACGCGGGATGCACCTGTGCTTTTCAGACACCTGGCGTGAGTAAACGTCCGACTGATACGCCTTTTTCTTGATCCCGGCTTTACCGAATCGGCTCGAATAGAATAGCAACAACGAGAGCGTCTTTTGATCGTCGTATGCTGCAGAAAACTTCCGACAATTGTAAAATAAACGCTCTGCTGAACGGGTGGCCGTTACTTCCGAGAAGTTTCGCGTAAAACTTGCGGAGCCAATTTGAAAGAAGTAACTGGTATCATCTGAGATTACGAATTTTCCCGTTTGTCATAAAATTCACCGTTGATCGTCGAAGATCTACAACTTGTCATCTGCGCGGTAAAAAATGTTTCGTTAAATACAGCCCACTGAAGTTTCGTGTTACTTCAACGGAAACACGTTCAATTAATGCGTTCACATTGTCGACGTGTTGTTGACAAGATGGAATCTTGTTATATCTCTATTAATCTAACATTACATCTGTGTACTTTTTAAACACGTTACCCACGTTAAGGTAACATAAAATTCCAACGGACCGTTTTTAACGCGACACTTTTCACCGTGTGCAACGTTGAATTCTCGCGTGACGAATATAATAATTACAAAGCATCAATGAATATAATAATAATATACAATCGATAACGATATACAGCAACAATGATTAACAATGATCGAGCGTGTGATCGGGGTATTCCCGAATCTCCGATTATTCCGGGCCTTTACGTGCCTTTACGTCACTGATATATTTTTCCGTTCTCACGCCGTTCCGCGCGCGGAGCGAGCTGGATTTATTTTGGTAGACCCTATCAGCGCCGCGGAGAGTCCGCTGTTTCATTCATGTTCGCCCGCCCGGAAGTTGATTGCGCGAAACTCGAGCGTATCGCTCAATTAGCCGCAATTCTATCTTCATTGATACGACTCTTATCTGGTCCCTTCGGCTGATAAAAGTTCAATGCGTGTGCGACGCTAATCGACGATCAAGAGTTCAAGATCGGCGTTTTCGTCGCTCAAACTATTACTTGCTCTCTTGCGGTAAACGTATTGCGTTCTGCGTTATCGTTTCCCTCCTCGACGAATGAAGATAATGGAATGATGCGTCCGCGATGTTACGCGTGGTCGGTTTGCTTATGACACACATATTATACTATATATCGTATACCACACACACACACACACACACACACACGGACAAACATCGTATATTATATAATGCGTTATCTGCAACGAGTCGAACCACATGTCGGTTAAGCTGGCAGATTTGCAAATGAAATTTGCTGAAATATCTCCGCGTGTACGAATTTTCCAACGAGTTCGGCCGACCGCTAATTAAATTTGCGGTAGAAGGGAGGGGGAGAGATCCTGTCAGCGGGAACGAAGCCGCGTAACGGACCACATCCGCTGCACAAATCCGGCAAATTCAGTTCGACTATCGGACTATAGATTGAAAGATCTCTTTCAGCCGTTTAACGGGCTGATGTTGTATTCGATTGGCTGCATACTCGACGTTATGCGTCGAAAATTAAATATTGATCTCATCGGTCAGGATAAATTAACTTTCTAGACTGTGTGTGTGCCGCGGAGTCATTCGCGATGCGCGCAACGTCGGCGGTAACGTCGGCAATTGCGCAAAATTAATTAATTCCATTCATTTAACCTCCTTGTTATAACTAACGATGTTAGTTCCGTGACGCATCCCGAACGTCATATATTTTTCTCGCCGATGATTTCCGCGGACTCGCAAGTGTTATAACGCGTATATAAAGTAAAGTAAAAGTGTATAAAGTGAAATTGTTAGCCGTGGAAAATCGATCCGGTGAACGTGCTTGACTTCGCGTTTTCCATCATTCCTCAGGTCGGTCGCGATACGATCAATTTGACGCATGCTAGGTGTTCTAGTGACTGTGACGGCGGTGGCAATAACGATGACGACGCTGTACGAGAAATGTATGATTGATCCAATGCCACGTGTATGCACAATGCGTACTCATTTGATGAAGTGACGCGTTATCGTGCGTCATTGTACGCGCGAGTATTCCATCCACGTGTTTTCGTGCACGCTCAATTTTCAGGGATTCGATCACACTGACCGGTTTCATTCGATTTGCTGCGTACCACCGTCGTCACTTCGACGGCGATACGGATTTCGATTCAAGTCGTTTAAGAAGGGAAACCCGACCGATCTGTAAATGTACCTTTGAACCGATCCCGCTCGAGCCGGATTCTTCGATATCGCATCCGTGCTTCGTCGTAACCGCAGCCGTCTTCGCGGTGCAGCTTCGAATTCCGCCGGGTCTGCAACAGAAATTGATTTTCCCGACTAATTATCGCGATGGAAAGACGTCTCGGTTTGGATTTATTGAAAAAAGATATCGGCTATAGACGTTAAGAATATGAGATTCAATCGTGCATCTCTTCTTTCTGCGCTCGGAAACACCGCACTGAAGGTGGAGCGGCATTTGATTGACCAATCGGAGCCCAAAAAGAGCAAAGATTTCCTTAGCACGATCGGTCGATTAAATGCCATTTTCTACCTTCAGTGTGGTGTTTCCGGACGCAGCCTAACGTTGTAGGCCTGAGGCCTACACACACGCTTCCTCTCTCGCTTATCCCCCCTTCCGCGCTTTGTGTGAGACGCTACATCCTGTTTCTGTTCTTCTATTATTCAGAAAAAAGTTCGGTCTTTGTGACCACTGCTATACCGCGGTCTGATCCAAAGAGACAACCTTTCCCTGGCGGCAATCGGTCTACAAAGGCGATGAGTAAAAATTGACAATGAATTTTTAACGAATGTTTCTATTTTTCTATCGAGGAAATTTCATGAAACAATCCCGCAATCGTTGCCGGGAATTGAGCAATCGGAAATAAATTTTCCAATTACGGTTACAACGATTTGGGACGGTTATTCAACATGAATGAATTGGAAATACTTGGTGCATTTTTTTGATTTTTGGCGTTTGTCAATTTTGATGTGAACCAGAGTGCGGTAGTCACCTTTCACGATGCTGTCGCTTACAACGACCGGCACCACCAAGTGTAATTTGTCTCGTACGCGCGTCGATCGACTGGGAAAATTCGGAAAATCACGCGCTACGTCTCCCGGTGAGTTCGCTGCCGCGTCTAAGACCGTAATGATGGAGGATCTCTTGTTTGTCGCACCTCACCTCACCTACGTATAATGATGCTGTTCCAAAGGTCGCGCGACCTTCAGCCCACCGACGAGCGTTTAAGAGCACCGTTACGTTATTTATTTAATTATTCAACATTCGCGATGAACCGTGAAAAGGAGCAGCGCGGTGACAGCACGGGTGACCACGTGCTCTCGCTGTAATCACCGGTCTGAAGGCGCGAAAATAACAAGAGGCAAGATCGCACCGATTCAATTCACTAATGACTCGTCGAGTCAGAAAGTTAGCGTCACTTGGACGTTTCCGTATCAATTCATCTCAACGTGAAGAACCTCCGCGTAGGGAACGTGTCCGTGACGCGTTGAGCATCGACCTTAAACTGAGCCTGTACTCGACGGTAAACTTAAGTCAACGCGCCAAAGAAAATCTTAACGTAAACGTAATTATACGTGATCAAGAATATCATCGTCTATAAAATAGGATCACGTGAAAATATTTTACAGTAAGAAATTGACAGAAATGTAGGTTGACAAATTAACATCTTACCAATTATTATTACCTTTTCCGCAGTTTGTCATTTTTCGCTTAGTTGTTATGAAATAACTTGCGTATAACTTCTATTTCCCAAATAACGATTTTTTTTTTTACTTTCAATACTATTTTTCAACATTTACATATATGTACATATAATTAATATATATATGTATATGCTTGACTCTATGTAATATCCGCGATCTTGATGAGTAACATCATAGGTCTTTCATAACTGTGGCTCAATTTTTTCTTCCAGTTCAACGCTATGATTTTATTGCGTATAAGAATGTAAATAAGTGATTCAACTCACATTATTCAAATATGGGTCACGAGTGCAGCCGATATCATAGTTTAATGAAGACTCGTCGGACGCGATATACGAAGAACTTACGGACGAATTTACTTTACAGATGATTTCTACAGACAAATTTTTTCCGCGCGTCGACTCAAGACTGTTAAATACAAGCCAAGCTGAAAATCGGTATTTGACGTAACTTAGTGCGTTATTTCGGACGTTTCCGCGCCAAAGTGATTAAGGCTCTGTTAAGGTGGTGCACGACGAGTTTCAGGATATCCTGTGTGTGCAGTACTAGGATGCTCGCATATATGCTTATCGAACAGCGTATTGTAATCTAAATTGCGGTTCGCTGTTATCCGGTTGTGCATTATCATATCAAAGGTTTGATAACATTAGGAGCCCATATTGCCAACAATATAGTTTCCCGAAACAAAACGAGGCAAAGCAGTCTCGTTTCTCACCTCCGACCGATCGTACGTGTCTCTCGAGGAGAATACGAGTGACGATTTCCTTCTTGCGAGTTTCTTCTTTTTTTTTTTGTTTTCTTCTATGAGCACGAGCGGCGTCGGTTCTCGCTCGTTGACGCACCGGGATGGATCTACGGCGTAGCAAGTATGCTAATTATCGCTACTCCAATTACATGGAGGAGGGCGTCGCGATGTTAAAAATCGGATCCGTCAGCGAGTCCGGGAAACTCACGGCAGCCGACGGCCGAACCGGCCGGAATAACAATATTTACCCCGCCAAGCTCGACATTCCGCCGACTTTGAGAGAGAATCTCCGGTCGGGTCGGCCGAACATCGATCCCGCGACGGAAGGACCGGCGAGCTCGCTGCGAAATAAACAACTGTACGCGGATAAAGCCGTGCGAACGACGAAAAGTTACATCGGGAAGTCTTGCTACAACGTAGGCCGTCTACTTTAGATCTCCTTTAGATCTCTCGATCGCGACCGACCTCCGCTCCCATGGAGGTCACTTAGATTGCGACGACCTCATGTAAACCGATGTTCGCAGCTCGGAGAAAAGGGCTCCGGCTTCAGACCGCGGGGTGAGGTCCAGGACTTCAACACGCTGAGACGGGAATGCCTGGAGACCGGACGGCTTTTCGAGGACTCCGAGTTCCCGGCCACCGACTCGTCGCTGTACTTCTCCCGCAGGCCGGACAGATACATAGAATGGAGGCGGCCGATGGTCAGCGATTTTCGCACTCTCGAGGATAATAAAAGCGAGTCGATCGGCGGTCACCGTTCGTTCAAAAAAACATACCGCGCGTCCACTGGATAAATTGCACGTTGGCGCGACAATGTGTGTCACGTTGGAGAAAAGTAATTTTGCTTTTTCGTCACAACGAAACCATCGAACCGAAATTGCTGCTGCATATTCATTGTGATAAAATTTCATTCGCATAACCAAGTAAGCGAGAGTTACTCGTAATTGGAGCAGAAGCAGTTCCGTTGCCAAGATAGGAAGTATTCTTCTGAGTGAATTTGTTTCCTCGCACACGTTAATTTGCCGTTCGAAATAGTGTCCTACTATATTCGCTACATTTTGTTCTTACAGCAAAATAACTCGTGGATTTAGCCGTGATACGAATAATTCAGCGAATGTGACAATTGGTATTCTTAACAAGTCGTTTCGCTGTCCGTACAGTGACTGACTGACCGGCAGATCTTGCTGCGACAGCGTGAAACTTGCCGTGCCGGCAAATTATTTTCCTTCGTGCAATTGTTGAACCAATCGTTAATTCTTTACAGCGACCATGTGATTAGTTCAGTGGACTAAACATAGCGCTTTGAAATCATCTCGTTGATTCTACCTTCTTCTTCTCCGTGCGAAAGATGTTACGTAGCCGTTCGAGTAGTTACAGTCGCCGTCGCAAATTAAACGCGTCTCGTGAATGCGCACACCTTGTAATCTCTATTAACGTAAAACCTACGTCTAAAACGAGCCTCGGCTTTCAATGCGCAACGTCGTGCCTCGCAGGAAATCGCGGACGACCCGCAGCTCTTCGTGGAGGGTTTCTCGCGATTCGACGTGCAGCAGGGGGAGTTGGGAGACTGCTGGCTGTTAGCCGCCGTGGCGAATCTCACCATGCATCCGAATCTCTTCTTCCAAGTGGTGCCGGAGGATCAGAGCTTCGAGGAGAACTACGCCGGTATCTTCCACTTCAGGTTCGAACGGAAATATCATCATTCGCGCACTTTTATCCCCTCTAAATCAGCATGCTTATGCGATCTCCATTCGCCTCCTCCGCCGACACTCTTTGCTTGTGCAAGGTGAGTCGAGTGAGATCCGTGTTATGAAAATATATCCACGCCCGTCAGGTTCTGGCAGTACGGCAGATGGGTCGACGTGGTGATCGACGATCGACTGCCCACCTGCCGCGGCGAATTGGTGTACCTGCACTCGGCCGAGTCCAACGAATTCTGGAGCGCCCTTCTGGAGAAAGCGTACGCGAAGTTACACGGCTCCTACGAGGCGTTGAAGGGCGGCTCCACCTGCGAGGCGATGGAGGACTTCACGGGCGGAGTGACGGAGATGTATCAGATGGACCAGACACCGCCAAATCTGTTCAATATACTGTTGAAAGCCTTCGAGAGAAACTCGTTACTGGGTTGCTCGATTGAGGTGAAACTCGCTTCGTCACGAAAGAAGCGACCTTTTGAATTATTAATCGTCATCATTCTCATTAGAATGCTCGTTAGAAGTGGTCGAATTTTACTTGACATCGGTAACTTTGACGAGAAGTATTTATTAACGTACGGTCTGTCTCTTGCAGCCCGACCCGAACGTATTAGAAGCAGAAACACCTCAGGGCCTGATCAGGGGTCACGCGTACAGCATCACGCGTGTGAAGCACGTGGAGATCGAGACGCCGAATCAACGCGGCACTATACCTCTGCTGAGACTTCGGAACCCCTGGGGGAACGAGGCGGAGTGGAACGGGCCTTGGAGCGATCAGTGAGTGCTGTTCTTTATCGCATGCCGAGACAAACGTTCGTCTCACGACAACCGAGTCTCACGTCTCATCGATCAAATCAGATCCCCGGAATGGAGATTCATCCCCGATCACGAGAAAGAGGAGCTCGGCCTAACCTTCGACGTCGACGGCGAGTTTTGGATGTCGTTCCACGATTTCACGCGTTACTTCACCCAGCTCGAGATATGCAACTTGAATCCCGACTCCTTGACGGGGCATGACCTCGACGCCGGTAAAAAGCGCTGGGAAATGAGCGTGTTCGAGGGGGAATGGGTGCGCGGAGTCACGGCCGGTGGTTGCAGGAACTACTTGGGTGAGGGACTTCGTCACCGTGAAATTTCTTTCTCTCAAGGGAATGCCGAACTTGATAACTTTGCCAGCGAGGAAAAAAAAAGAAAATGCCGACTTCTCCCGTGATGAAATTTGCACCGTGTTGACTGGACAGAATCATACAAATGCCTTTGCGCAGCGTACGTACGCGCGGAAATGAATCGGAGCATTGCTCGATATGCGACGAGAAGGTGAAAATCAAGTTCGTCGTCGGCAATCCCTTTGATCTAATCGATCCATTCGAACGAACGAAAATGAACGAATCTTTCGCGCAGAGACCTTCTGGCACAACCCGCAGTATCGCATCACGTTGGAGCATCCTGACGACGACGACGACGACAAGTGTACCGTGATCGTGGCTCTGATGCAGAAGAACAGGCGAGCACAGAAGCGGATGGGTGCCGATTGCCTCACTATCGGATTCGCGATATATCATGTACGTGATATTTCACCGGTGCTGAGATGATGAGAGGATCGATTCGACGGGATGTAGTCCTGCGTGTGACAAGTCGAATTTTGACCGTTGGATTTTTTTACCGACAGTTGGAGTACCCGGACAGACAGCCGAAACCGTTGGACATCAACTTCTTCAAGTACAACGCGTCCGTCGCTCGTTCGCCGGCATTCATAAATCTACGAGAGGTCACGTGTCGCTTTAAATTACCGCCCGGTGTATATTGCATAGTTCCGAGCACCTTCGACCCGAACGAAGAGGGTGAATTCCTGCTGAGAATCTTTTCCGAGAACAAGAACAATATGGAGTAAGTCGCGTTGCGCCTGGCGAACGTTATCGTTTCCATTGGAAACCTTCAGTTTTCAATCGCAGTTTCTTAGATCGCGAGAAATCTTCCGTTTTCACTCGCGTGGCAAATTTATGATCGTTTCGTTCAGGGAGGGGAAAAAACCACTTGAAATCAAACAAATCTGTAGGCTAAATTGCGTGACGTGTTATTATAAGTCGATGATATCATGGTAGCATGTGTTATGTTAATTGAAGAATTCTTACCGAAGCTGTTCTGTTTCGTTTACAGGGAAAACGACGAGGAAGTCGGTGTCTGCGATGTCGACGACAGGGTAAGAATATTTGAATATCCGAGTGAATATTTCGCGTGAGAAGAGTCGACGGACTCGCACAGTAAGACATTAATCTTAAACAGTAGCAATTATATTTATTACATCTACCATTTAATCGTAATAACATGATTTTGCAATGAAACTAGGACAGTGTCATGCAACATTACGTAACCGTGTTGCACGATGTGTGAGAATTCTGATAAGATGCTGTTTAGGATTAATCGTGTCTCACCAGACGCGACACAAACGTATCCCTTCGCACAATTCCCGAGCGAACACAGCATTAACGCTTGACAAGTACACGTCACGTGTCGCCGTGAGTAGTTTAATTGTGGATTGGTAATGCATTTATTAACCGTTTTCTGCTAAAATATCAGCCATTGGATTAACCAGCACTGTGCAATTGAGTCTCGGTGTTTAGCCTCGCGGCAATGCTTACGAAGCTCGACACGCCTGTGTCCGACCTGTTGTCCGACATCACTTTGCATTCGTGACGTCGCGGTGGTAATCTGTCGCTAACACGTAACGATACGCATGTTTATGTCGCCTGGCTTTTAGGTGATTAACTCCGTGGGTGGTAAGGAGCAAGAGGACAGAAGTAACGTAAGTAAATTGCACGCCTACTCATATCGCAAGGGGAGAGTTACGATATATATGTTTCGTGTATACGTATGTATTGTATGTTTGTGCGAAAAGAAAGGGAATTACACAGTAGGCCGTATTATGGCGGATTTAAGCTTACACTAACACAATTGTCCCGGAAACTGAGATATCCGATTCACTGCTAAAATATCTCTCGTGATTCTGTTTACGATTACTCATTCTGCGTGCATATACAACGTGAGAATTCTGCGTGTTTCATTTCAGAAGTCGCGATTATTCCAGGCTGAGGAGCGGGAAATGCAAAACTTCGGAAATGTAATTCAGAATCACCGTGATTTACAAGAAAAAGCTTTGCATTTCCTCTCTAAGATTTGTTTCATGTCATTGTCTCTCAGTTTTCATCATTGACAATCTGTTTGGTTTCCAGGTACGCGATGAACCCGAACAGGATGGTAATACCGAAAAGGTCCGGGAATTCTTTAAGAAGCTCGCCGGCGACGACTTGGAAGTGGACTGGATGGAACTCAAAGATATCTTGGATTTCGCCATGAGGAAAGGTGAATATCGTAAAGCGCATATATGTGTGTGTGTGTGTGTGTACATATGAAACTGCGGATAGGATACCGTATTCTTTTGAAAAACATAATTATATTTTTATCGGATTATCGCAGAGCTTTGCTTCTTGTAGCTTTTTATGTAGCTTTCCGTTATCTCTCTTTGCTTAATTGATGTTCGATGTAACCGTCCATAAGATCGTACATTTAATCACGCTTAATCATTAATCCCATACGTCCTGAATATCATTCGAACATCATCATTACCACCTGCACTATCAGTTTTTAGCCAGCGCCAGCTGATTTCTTACGGATTCTCTCTTTGTACGTAGAGATTATTTTCAAGTTACTACATTTTCTCAGCACGCGGCGCAGCATCTTACCCATGACGTCAACGATAGTTTCGCATGCTTGTCTCGTATCTCGTAATTCATATTTTTGTACAGTACATAAATACATTTGGGCCCCATAATAATAACTGGCGCAAACTCCGACACTAACGTTTTAATATTACTTATTCAGTTGTAAGTTCGAATTTTTCTGGCCGATTGGCGATTAATCGGAATAACGTAAATTTCCGTCTTGAGAATGTTTAATTCGTCCTAGGAGCCGTGACTTTGTGAATAAATATGCGAACTGCGCGTGTAATCGATGCGAAAGTGATGAGTCTCAAAGTAACGGATTCTCACATTAGTAGACGTTACCGACTTTTTATGGCCCAAGTGTGCGTATGTAGAACATCTATGCTAACATGTAGCTGTGTGTTACGGGTAGAGTTACCGCAGTTGGCGCATCGTAGCGAGGCACATGTCCCTGAAACTGTTGAAGGAAATGGTTCGTTTGTCGACACTCTCATCTCACTGCTGTGCGGCGTTGTTTGTAATAATGAACAGTACAATAAGCCCGTAGGTAAGGCAACAATATGCTACTTCCTACCGCGGGACCGTCGACCTGACGAGTCGCGTCGTTCACGAAATTAGCACCGAACGTACTCTTTCGGGATTAATTCAGTTATCCTTGTTGCAATAATACACGAACGCAATAATACGCTCTCGGCCGCACTCCTACAGTGAACTGATAGCGTCAATGTCAAGGTGGCGTTAGCAAAGTTTGACGATCTAACTTGATGCACCGCGCTTGCGGTACGGCGGAAGCGGAGAGATACGTCACGGGAGAACAGCCACGGGCATATTTAATCGAGTAGAAACTCGGCAACTTTAAATCGCATGCTTTTCTAATTAACAGAGTGACAAGGCGAATAACGTGTTGCTTGTGATGAACTTTTCCCTGACGCGCGTCAAATCTGTGATATATAGCTGTATCATAATCAGACCGCTGTCCTAAATATAGTCGGATAAACTAAATACCCTATCTTGCAACGATAGCATTGTATATATATTTATATATATATATACACACACACCTTAAACATTAATGTTTATCTCTTGCACATTCAGAACGTTTCACGATAGCATCTTAATGTGCAATTTCTACCTTCATTTTACACGTGTTATTGTATACAATATAATAGTATTGTATATCGAATACAGGTGCAATTAATCCCAATTGTGAATACGAATGCATTTGAATTCTGATTTTGTGAATCAAGTACGATCATCACGATAACGTGGATTTCCGATACGCTAAGCAAATTTCCGTCTGAAATTGTAGACACTCGCGACAAAGGATTTAGCAAGGACATATGTCGCAGCATGGTCGCGATGTTGGATGTCGATCATTCCGGAAAGCTTGGCTTTGAAGAGTTCAAGACGTTGTGGAATGACATCCGAAGATGGAGGGTGAGCGATAAATCTCTCTTTAGTTCGATAATTTGCAGTGAATACGTTCTGTTGTGAAAACAATGTTGAGAAAGCTGTACGATGAAATTTCCAGGCTGTTTTCAAACTGTACGACAGAGACGAATCAGGCCACCTGAGCGCGTTCGAGCTGAGACAGGCGTTAAATAGCGCCGGGTATCGTTTGAACAATCATATTCTCAACATTTTGGTTCACCGTTACGGCACCAAGGATGGCAGAATTACGTTCGACGATTATATAATGTGCGCTGTCAGGCTCAAAACAATGATCGGTGGGTAAAATCACGGATTTTTGATGATTTAACTCGCTTATTAATATTAACAAATTGTGAAATCACTGACGATACATATATCGCTGCCGTCGCAGACATTTTCAGGGAGAGAGATCCAGACCAAACCAACACGGCCACGTTCACAATGGAAGAATGGATAGAGAAGACGCTTTATTCGTAATAACGTATTATATATATAAATATGTACATTCGCTATAATCCGATTTTACCTCAGACTTAACCGACTCTTCTCGTAACAATGTGATGACAAAACACTTGCAATTGCGAATGAGATCTATTTTTTACGGAAAGAAGAGAAAGTAGTTTCTAAAAATGTAATTTGCCAGACGGCGTGCGCATATCCGCACGTTCGTTTGTCTTCATTTCTCCGAAACGATATTACAAAATAAGAAAACGTCCAGTTTAAAAGAGATCTTCGCGGTATTTATATATATATATATATATATATGTTTTACGGAAAGAACTAATGTATTTGTAATACAATTAATATCTAATAAAATTTCCAGTCTGTTTTTCAATCGTGCGATTATCGTCTGCATCAACGCTGTGTCTGATGCGCATTCGGGCTTTCGAGTCTTTCTGTTTGACGAGATTCTTTACAAATGCGAATAATACCAAACGGCATCGATGCATTCGATTAGGACGACATCGGACGAAATTAGAATATCCAGATGCATTTGAACTCGAACTAATGTTAAATAACATCAGATGTTACAGAAAAATTTCAGCCGTTTTTTAGTACATTGTCCGTGATGATTATTTTGATTTGTTACTCTGTGCGTGTGCGTATATAAGCTACATTCCGACATTCATTGCTCATATTGAAAATCAATAATATACGTAATGTAAATTCGAGATTTTTAGTATCGGTGATGAATTTCGGAACCCAACCACAGAAGAATGTGATATCGTGTGTCTTAACATGGCAGATGATTTCAACGTTATTGCCATTGCAGCCAGCTAACATGATTTGTTGGCTAAATTAACGTCGCTCCATGCAAATTCCACAAGACCGGTGATCTTTAATAATACTGCGCATCGACGTTATTATTATTATTATTAAAAATTTAATATCTAGTAAAATATCTTCTCATTATTTCGCTTTATAAAACGCGTAAGCTAGTTCTATAAATATCTTCTCGCTAAGGCTCCTGTGTCCTTACTTTGGCTGTCCTCATCTGATGACGTCAGAAGCGAGAAATCGCGTGTCAAAATAAATATCTGAAAATTAGTGTAACATGAAACTTGTGTTTTTATCCTATCTTTTCTCATGATTTCTGTTACATTAATTTTACAGTTATTTATTGATTGTTCTGATTAAAGGAGAGCGTCCGGACATTTTTACAAGTGTGTTAAATTTATCACGAGTGTCATTTTATGTATATATACATTTTTTTTTATTTCCATGTATATTTTGGCACGCGATTTCTCGCTTTCGACGTCATCAAACGAGGACAGCCAAAGTGAGGACACCTTAATTTGCTTTATAAAATGTGTGAGCCAGTCCTGTAAAGTTGCGTAACTTTCCCATTAAAGTTCCGTTAATTTTCGATTTGTAATTCTTTGTTTTATAAAATTATCAATGACATTCATATCACTATTATAATACGCGCGATAAAGAAATGGAGATTGCATGTGAACATATATATGGAACGAACGTTACATAATTTAACTGCAGTGTTACATTTTCCCATCGACGTTTTTAATCGTGTTCGATACATAACGAATAAACTAATTCGAATATTTCAACTCGCAACGTCTCGCTATCATTGCATTCTTCTCAGAATGTTCTACAACAAGCGGGTGAAATTTTCTGTATTTCATTACAAATATTCGACGAGCCAAAACCAACTTAAAACTACAAGTTCCTCTATTTTTCTTGATTTACACGAGAACTTCGTATTTATTTTTTTTTTTTCGAGTACTCTTTATATACAAGATTATATTAAATTCACTCGAAAATAATGTGACTAATCTAAGTACTAAAACGAAGACATCGCGGGAAAGCATAAATGTAAATAGATAGATAGTCAAAAGTGACTAGTGAATTTCTTAAATGTTCCCAAGAAAAGAATTCTATTGTATGAAATTTCAAGAAAAAATAATTTCTACTTTCCGTCATCATCAATATATAACATTTATAGTAGATAACTCTTCAACAAGGGCCTCCAAGGGTCTACGATGACGAATTCTGGGAGATCCTCTGTTAATCTGTGTAGACCAGAACTTCTCTTCATGAGAACCATCGGTTGTGGAAGAAGATATGTTGTCCTCTGGGTTCTCGATGAATTAATTTAGTTTCCTTTGAATCAGTCTATATACAGATCCTCCTCAATGCTAGGGCATTTCTATCATTAAAGATTCTGCGATAAGATATAGAAAGTAAGTTTCATGCGAGCACAGTAGTTTAAAACTTGTATTTGGTAAATGTTGCGTTGAACGGAACACGTATAAAATAAACCCGTCAATTTAGCGAAGTGAAATATTGAATTTAAACGTAAACGATCAGAATTTGTTTTGTGTTAAGGGGGTTTTTGCTAATTATTTCAGGATTCGCTTTAATATAGACTCATCAATTTGGCGAGGGGAAAGATTGAAATGTCAACGATTAAAAGTCTGTTATTAACAATTCAAACTTCATTTGTTAGCAACTTCTTGATAAACAGCGAGCGACAGCTAAGACTTTTTGAATGTTACTCAGGGTGATGATCTTTGCAACACATCTCAAAGTCACAACTACACTTGTCGTTCCGTTCAATATAACATTCACTTTATATTTTTATTAATATTAACGTCTTATTATAAAGGAATTCTCAAATAAAACTTGTTGGGATATCTATCATTAACAAAATATCGAAATCTGTCCAGAAAGACAATAACGTGTGTGGTGGAAGCGCAACAACATATGTAGTAACAAGAATATACACAATGCTGCAGATGTGTAAAAAGAATAGCGCCAACCAGTACAATTATTTACCTAGCCAGCGGTGAGAGGTACATCATCGTCCAGGTCGTCGTCTTTACTTTGTTCATGCAAGAGAACATATTCCCTTGAACTGAAGCCAAAGCGTATCACATCTCGCTCCAATAGTTCATGATATCTCCTGGGCTCTAATTTTACATTATTTACAAACGTGCCGTTCGCCGAGTCCAGATCGATAAGGTACGGTCGTATTCTTCTACTCTCGAGACCGCCTTCCTTTTGATAGGAGACCAGACGATATTGCAAAGCTGCGTGTTGCTTGGAACATGACGGATGGTCCAACGGTATATCAGCCACTTTGCGATCTCTCCCCATGAGATACGCCGACTGCCGATGGATGTACAAAGTGGGTAATTCCTTTTCACCTTTAAAGGTGTACAGTCTCCACCTGCGTTTCGGTTTTCTCGCATCCTGCGGTTCCGAGTACTTTATTACCACGCCGTTGAAAGTGTTGACTTCCTCCGTCAATTTCCCGGACAACTCGAAGTTGGGTCTCTCCTTTTCCTGCGGCTTCGATTCATTCTTAACACTCGATTTACCCCACTCGGGTGATTCTCGCTTCGCACGGACTTCCTCCGAGTTCCTCTTCTGCTTGTCGTCGCGTCTCCTACCGGACTCGTTCCTGTCTCTGCTACCACTACGATCGTTATATTCCCTGTGCCTGGGACGTCCGTTGTCCTTCCTCAACGGCGATCTCTCATGTTTCCTCTTATCGTCATCCTTTCTAGAGTGGTCACGTCTGCTGGCCCTGTGATTCCTATCTCTGTCCCTTTGCGATCTGTGAGAATCATTGTTACTCTCGCGTCTACCGCTTTTATGAGCATCCTTTCGATCTATACTATCATTATGACCGGATCGCCACATATTGCTCGATTTATTTGCAAACTAAGTTAACAAACTGCCGACCTAACCTAACTCACGTGGTCACAATTGTGACGCAAATGAGGCGAAGTTTTTCCAACTTTAACTTTCGATCGTCGCCTTGAAGCAGGTTCTGTTTGACATACACACTCTCTCTCTCTCTCTTTTCCTCTCCCCCACAGTTTTGGTTACAGAAAGCTCGGCAGCATGGTTCCACTTGACGCTCGCAACCATATATGTAATATTATTATTATATAGCTAGTCCTATGTCGGCCTATAAGAGGGAGCCATCTCAGAGGCGGATAGAGGCGTAATGCGCAGACGCGACGATCAGATGATATATAATATATATATATATATATATATATATATATATATATATAACCACACACATGTGTGCTAAGATATATTTTATTTTTCTATGGGCGAAGACGCTAACCGACGCGTGCGCATTACGTCCACAATATACTCAGAAAGGAAAATACATATTCCCGCACCGTAGTTGCGAGACAAGACTTCTCTCTCACCCTGGCCACATAGTAGTATTACATATATACACTGAACACTGCAACGCTCACTCTGGATGTAGTCATATATAATTATATATTTATCTTTACGGACATATTCTATAGTATGATTATGTATAAAAAAATTGTTAACGTCTCAGATTACGGGCCTTTATGGTCTTTAATACGTACTAATCCAGTGTAGAAAAATGTAAGGAGGATAGGGTTAATTCAAAATCCAAACCTTGAGCAAAGATCATAAAATTTGCTGCTCTGACACCACATAACATTTATTTGTTATATTTTTCTAATGTGACATATAACAAATATTTGATATATTTTTCTAATGTGATACGTAACAATTATATGAAATATTTTTTTAACATGACACGACATTTGTTTGATACGTTTTTTTTAATGTGACATAATATTTATTTGACATATATCTCTCTAAAATGGGGGAGCAATTGAGATAATTAAAGCGATTAACAATAAGTTATACATTAAAATAGATGTTAAAATAGCTTATACGGTATATTTTCTATTTATATCTCGCTGAATTGACAATTAAGACCGTATGGTCCGCGCTCTGTATGAACCCAATAAGAAATGTTATGTGTACATAAGATTACAGTCAACATTTCTAAACGTTAATTTAATGTTCCCTGCTTACTCGGTTCATTCAGAGCGCGGACCGTACGGTCTAAATTGTCAATTCAGCGAGATATAAATCGAAAATATATCGTACAGGCTATTTTAACGTCTATTTTAATGCATGTTTTGAACGTATTTTAATAACATTACATATATATATATATTTTTTTTTTAAATATGAAAAATATACATTTTTAAATATGATTTTTTTTAACGTTATTAAAATATTATAAAAAACATTACAAATATATATGATATAAAATATACTAAAATAATATTATTTTAAAAACATCACATAGAATTAAAAATATTTTAAAAACATTACAAATATATATAATATAAAATATACTAAAATATGGCCTATTATAGTCCTATTTGGGCTATTAGTGGAAATACAATTTTAAAAATGATGTTTACGATTCGTGGAATCCAAAAGATAAATAATAATATTGTCAATAACATCGCACATTGTACTCGTATAGGTAAATAACGATGAAATTCATTAATATTTATACGCTTGGAAAAAAATATGACACAATTAATATGTGCAATCACAACACATAGTACTTCTAAAACAAATCGTTCATGTGAAATGCACTCCTCCGAATGATGTATCATTGGATTCATTTTTATTTGAATTTATAAATCTGCGCAAGTTTTGTTTTGGCTCTTCTTGAGTTCTTGTCGGGGTCTTCTCGAATGTTATCTGTAAAAAATTACACAAAAATTAACACGCAATGCTGTGATATCCTTAAAAATAATGCATATATATAATAATAACTATATATATAATGTACTCTATGTTGAAAAACACATCATTAGTAGAAGTTTACTAAAAATAGATAATTATATATATATATTTTTTAATTTTTTCTAATGATCGTTATATAGAGGATATACTGTATATAATATAGAGTACATTATATACAGTATATCCTCCACACACACACACACACACACACATTTTTATACAAATCATATATATATAATTCAGTTATATATATAATTATATATATATTTTTTTTTTATTTGAAAAATATGCCTATGAAGAAAATGTCTACTTTATGGCAAAAGAATATATTACTTTCCTAGTCAACCCGATATACAGGATAAAACGATTCAGTCGCGCGACAGATTCGAAAACATATTTTGCCATTTACAGCGCACTAATGGTAATAGCTGATCGATTAAACGACTGGCTAATTAGTTTTAAGGACTAATTAGTTTTAAGGGCGATATGACATAGCTCTGAATAAAAATTTATATAATTATTTAAAATTATATAATTTCTAATGTGTGTCACATTAGAAAAATATAACAAATAAATGTTATGTGGTGTCAGAGCAGCAAATTTTATGATCTTTGCTCAAGGTTTGGATTTTGAATTAACCCTATCCTCCTTACATTTTTCTACACTGGATTAGTACGTATTAAAGACCATAAAGGCCCGTAATCTGAGCCGTTAACAATTTTTTTATACATAATCATACTATAGAATATGTCCGTAAAGATAAATATATAATTATATATGACTACATAAATTATATAATTACATAAATTACATTATATTTTAAATAATTATTATATTTATATAATAATTATTTATATAATTATATAATTATTATTAATTTATATAATTATTATATAATTACCGTAATTTTCTATTGGAGATTTAGATTGATTCGTTGTGCGTTGCTGCTCGATTGATGCTCGAAAGTTTTGTCCGATTGCGTCAACGGGAAGCCTCCTAGCGTACACGAAAAAAAATTAGTATCAATTCAAGACTCATGTTCTCATATACAAGCAAGAATATATAATTTTATACAGAGGTAAAATTTGCTTGTATGAAGAAATTCTATATAACTTCACTACAAATATCAAATTCCTGTTATTCAAAAATAATTTTCATGAATTTCATTAAGAGGTAAAATGTTGGATATATAAAAGGAATAAATGGATATCTTCAAACTAAGAATTGTATCAGTTTCAAGATATCATTTAATTCAAGCCTTATGGCAAGACAATAACGTTCTCCTTTACTGAAAAAAAGACATAATGTTGCAGTTCTAAGAAAATTTATGAATAAATTCGTAAAATAATAGTTTACGAAACAATCCCGTAAGAATTTGATTTGCTTTTACATGATGATATTGACTTAATCTTGACATAAACTGTGCAATTCTGTACACTAACATCTGCTCATCGTTAAATCAGTTCGGCTTGCAGCAATACAGACCAAATTAACTGAACGTCATCTTAGATAATTCGATGAAGATAATACCTTTTTCTGTAGAAAGATGGACGTTCAGACATTCCAAACTAAGCGAACAAGCATGAATGAACACGAACGAACAGGCATGAACGAACGCTGGCATTAACGTGGTTTTTATGAAGAATGCGCCGCAAGTATAATAATGAGTGCGGACGAACATCACCCGTTAAACAATTCCATATATATATATATATATCATAATCATACGCACATCATGGATATAATCATGTATAAATGTAATCAGGTTGTTCGGAAAAGACATACGGATAGATTTCGCGCGCTCCGCGCGTAATCAACGAGAGCGGAAGGACGATTTTATATTTATTAACGTACCTTTTCGAATCCGAGAACCTACCAAAGGATCTTCGTGGTCCTTCCCTAAGTGGTCAGGAGGTCAGGTGGAAACTTGGAGCACTAGAATGTCCACTTTCACCACGTGATGCTCCCAGTGTGGCCTCACGACTCCACGGATCCTGAATATGTCCTTTATAAAGATGCCTGCGTCACTCACCGGATAATTCGTAGTTAGTATTAAGGATTCTGGGGTTTCATCCAAAGGTTCTCCCGAGCAAGTGGGATCCCGGGATTCTTCAAGGGGTTTCAAGGGCGTGGTGTTTGTTCAGTACGAGCGGTTTTCAGTACAGCGAAATCGTCAATGCGGCGAAGCACACAGCCTCCGGTTGAACGAATTGAAAACTGTCGTCGCATGGGACCCCTCTGGACCGACCAATAGGCGTAGAGCAATATTTCACCATGATAGGAGAAATAAGCCAGAATTATTGAACAAAGAAGTACATACGTGTTTCAATAAAGTTACGGCTTTTGCCCACAGGACACGGCAGAAATTCGTGCGGTAATCAATCAACATGCCGTTTTTCGGTAAAAAGCTAGAAGTTCATCGGCTACTGCGCGAATTCCCGCTGTGCGACAAGCATTTCCGCGTCTCCTGCAGGTAGAAGCCATTTGAGTAAAACGGGGTATACAATGAGAATTTAAGCTCTAAGTCTTAAGAAATTGACCAATCACAGTCAGATTATTCGCCTCGTATTCGACTGTGATTGGTCAATTTCTTAATGCTTAGAGCTTAAATTCTCATTGTATACGTCGCTTAAAATATTACGTCCTGAAATAACATAGATTTGAAACGAACTTTCCGAACAACCTAATACATAATAGCAATCACAGAAATAATTATAACTAGTCATATCTAATCATACATAATTATTTATGATTAGTATGAAATAATTATGTATGGATAAATTTCATGCATAAATTTAGTATAATTATGCTTAATTATGTATACATAAATGTATACATGAATTTAGTATAATTATGCTAATTATGTATATTCATACATCACTTATATATGAAATATTATGATTACGTATGAAATATTTTCTAACGGGCAGCGAATGTGTTCTACCTCGTGACAGTGCTTCAAAGAAAATATGTTACTTATCATTATTATTATTCGTATTATATTTATTATTACTTGTCTAGATTTATAAATAACACGCTTTCCTTGATGTAATGACACAAGATAAAACACATTCGTTAATGTTTGTCCGCACTCGCTCGTACTTGCAGCGTCATCCATACTAACTTTTTCGGACTTTGATGAATTGTTAATAGCATCAATTGTATCACCTCTATGATATAACTTAAATTGTTTGAAATGAGATGAATAATCGATGAATCGTGAACGCAGAACAAAGCACATTATTAACTCTTCAACCATTTTATGGATTAGATGGACCCGATGAGTAGTGTCTGAAGAGCTATAGCGAGGAGAAGTGCGTGATTTATGAATGCTTCTTGAAAAATCCAAATCCAAAATGCATTCCTGAAAAATCGTTCAATTAATAAAAGCGATCTGTCCGTTAGATGTGGTGGGCATTGTGGTTGCGTATAAATCGATTATCGTATAATCGATGCGTAAACCGGTCATAATTTAACCGTAAACAATTGGTAGCGTAGGACGACTGGCTACATATTAATTTAGTGGTAATAGATTACATGACGATCGGCCATGTTGAGGGAGCGTTTAATTTGAACGATATCAAGAGACGCGGGAACGTCTCGTGCGAAGTTCAAAACAATATACATATTTTTGGAGGTATATGCATGCAAATCGATCCCTCAATTGCCGTAATTATATATAGTTAAACTGTGATCAAGTTCTCAGGAGTCTTGTCCGATATCTGTATATAACTTATGTAAGCAACTCATGTAAGCAACTCAAACAAATAATCTAAATATACATTGATTATTCAATATCCCAAGCAGCATCCCGTAGCAAAAGTGTCGCAGTATCACAATTATGCTGCTCTGTTACAATTCCATTTTTTAGTTAAAATATATACATCTTGAAGTTTATGTCTATTTATAACAAATTATTTAAGAAATATTTTAATTGCTAAAAGATATTAATATATTAATATATTAACAGATATTAATATATTAATATATTAACAATATTAATTTATAACGGAGCAGTATAATTGTGATACTGCGACACTTTTGCTACGTAAGATATGTATTAGGGGTTCTAAAACATATGTTCTTCGAACGTTCCCACTTTGTTTGAATATAATCAAACCAAGTGAACGTAAAGCAAACGTTCCTAGAACGTTTACGTGCTGCTTGGGATTATTGTTGAAGTAATCAGTGAAACATTTTTCATCGTCGTTATCATCTACGAACTAATGGGCCCTCGAAAAACTGCTCATATCATTCTCAATATAACAAAAACAAAAAATACAACATAAAAATAAAGAAAAATAAAAAACATAATAATAAATAATAAAAGAAATAAAAAAGAGTAAGGAAACATATTTCGAATGCATATCAGTCATATTTTTCTCTATTGGAATCATATTTCAACTTTGTCATTTTATCGTGGCAGCTTAAAGAAATAAAATGTAAAAAGAATGATTTTTTAAGTAAAATACTACCTAAAATGCTACATATTCACGAGAGAATACCGTTTAAATCAGAGAATTTTTCATCAACTTAAAAGTCGATTTAATATTAACGATAATAATATTTATTTAACAAGAAGCTTTCTTTATACTGATAAATGAACTAATAAACAGTTGTTTAACACTTTCTTGCTATTTGGATTTGTTCAGAATGCACGAATTTAAAGTTAAAGAAAAAGAATTCCACTCTCAGCGATATTATAGCGACAGCAATTAATAGCATTAACAGTGTATATGAGTAAAATCAATATTCAGGTTAAACAATATTTTTATTGCATAAATGTAACATAACCTTTGTTTTTTGAGAAAGAAAAGGAATAAGAATAGATAGCTCTATTGTTTCCACTCACCAAGGCAGGTCTTATCTTATTAGAGATCTGGTAATGTGATAAGGCAGCGCTGGCTACCGGTGACCCCAACAAGCTTTTTGCTAGTAACATTCAAACTTGAATTGTTTTTGCTCCAGACAACCTTTCCATAGCCAGATATTTTATATTTCATTTAGATTAATATCCTGTCCATGAAAAAATAATTTGTTAAACAATAATAAAAATAAAAAATATATGTCATTATATAATGCCGATATGATAACTGTTATTTTTGAGAATTAGATTATGGAGGACATTAAATGTGAGAAATAGAAAGTCTTCTATCGGTCTGTCCTTCATATCTATACTGCTGAACTAAGAAATGTGATAAGTTAAAGCAAGAAGTGCAATAAGTCAGAGCAAGACAAATATATGTTTTCTCACTTCAATTTAACGCACCAGTGCAGTTAATCCTACAAGGGGACATCTATCTCGAATTCCCGTCGAGTCTCCATCAAATTCGTGTAAGGAAACCGATTCCACATAGATTTTGCGTCGATCTCGCGTGTGGATCCCGCGGATGTTCTTATAGGGAAAGAACAGACCAAATGTATCGAAAAGACGGAAATGTGTTGATTTTTCTCGATGTGCTGAAATATTACGCGCCGCTCGATTAGTATGGAAATTAACGTTTACATTACCTTTTTTACAATCGGGACAAACCGTCTTTCTCGCCTGTAATGAGTCCTGCGTCATTCGCGGCGACGGCACGGATCGATCGCGCTCCAGCTCCGCCAACTCCAAATTGAAAGCGTAGTTTCAAGTGAATCTAAGTAAAATCCACAGTCGACATTGAAATTTACTAGTATTTCGTCACGATTATCGATTCGGTGTGATGACGTAAATTTAAATTCGAGGTTACGATCCTCAATCTCCATCGCGATATCACGGCTAACACGATGACGGACGGCGTTAAACGTCTCTTGTTTCACCGTGACACCGGGAACAAGATATAACGACGGGAAAGAAGGAGCGAAGCGCGAGTTCGCTGCCACCTCTGCTGGCAGTGACTTTTCTTCTAACATATTCAAAACAACTGGATACGCGGCGCGAGGAATCATTCGTATCGTTCGTGGAAATTCATGACATAGTAAGTGTCGGTCCACAATATGTATTTTGAACCTTAAGCTTCAAGAAATTGACCGGTCACAGCCGAATGTGAACAAATTAACTGTGATTAGTCAATTTCTTAAGGCTCAAAACCTACCACCTATTGCAGACCGACATTAACATTGATGAAATCTAGAGCGCGCATGACCGTGCACGCATCTTCGCGGCCGTTTATCGCGCATCCAGGGTTGTAAATAATCACATAGATTGCTCTAATTATTCATGTCGGTGCAGTCGTCGTCCGTCATCGTTTAATTTACTAGATCAGCTGCCGTCCAGGCAAGGAAAAAATTAGATATGCCGATGAAGCCTCCCACATTGTCGAAATATTAAGACGGAAGACGCGAAAAGAAAAAACGCGAATTAGCGCGGGCGACACAATGCCATGGCTCGACAGTGGGAATGATATTTCCATGAGGTGGGGGTGCTATTCGGCTCGTCCTGGGATAGTCGTCGGGGACCTGATCTGGAAACCAGTCGGCCAGCCAAGTCTGCTGGAATCTCTTCCGCGGACCAATCAAATCTCGGTCAATTCTGTTGCTGAGAAACGCGATATTGTAGAGAACTGGTCGGTTCACACGTCCCATACGCAGATCGTACGATTAACGGGAATATTGAATTTTCCATTTTTCTTTTTCATCTTTAGCCATTTTCACCCTCAGAAGTAGGTTCAGTGAGAAGTGCTTGAAGAAAATCCGATCGCAGTTGTCGAGAAAGTGAAAGAAAAAGGAGGGGGAGATTCATTCGAGACGGTGAATTAAAAGTCGTAGGCATCCAGAAATCTTCTCGGTTTATTCCCGATTTTCGAAGATGAAATCGGGCGGATTGAATATCCGGTATCTTTTGGCGGCAGGACTCGTGGCGATAATCAATGGAGTACCTATGGAAAACAAAAATGAGAAGGTATTTTTTTCTCACTTTACATGAAATCAGTATTGAAGAATATGGTTCTCAAGTAAATAAATAGTGAGCGACAGCGACATACGACAAGCGTATTGTTTCATTACTCATCAATCGATATTTCGTGAAAGAGATAATTTTCAAAATTTCCCGTCTCACAGTTCCGTCGTGTTGTCGGCCGATCGATACAGGCAGATTCAACGTTGTATGCCTAACGCTTACCGTGTAAATCGAGCGTCTGTTACTAATCAGCAATACACACCGTATATCCGTGCAGCCAAATGCTCTCCGAGATTCGAGCGGCGTCGGAAAGTCACATATATATAATCATGCGAAAATACATACATAAATATACATCATCCCTTTTTACGAGAAGGGCGTGAGACCTCAGCTTGAACGTACCAAGGCACGTTGACCTCTTTTCCGCGACGTTGATTGGCTCCCTCGAAATTTCGATATGCGGGTCACTCGACAAGCTACACGGATATACATGTTATGCATGTGCTAGTACCGTCATGTGCAAGTGGCAGAAGTTCGATTTATGATTATACATGCACTACTGAGGCAGATGAAACACATTCAAAGGCATTCATTTGTTTCGGCGTGCAAGTTTTTTAATTAAATTCAGCGTTTCAAGTAATTAGTCCACGGCAATACCGTTGGAAAGTTATAAATATTTAAATAATATTAGATAGTTAATACACGCACGAAAAAACTCGACAGATCTGTGCTGAACGTTTAGAAACGTTATTTATGATACGTTAGAATATATTAAGCTCCGTATTTACTACAGAAAACTGATCAAATGTTAGGCCGTGAGGAGCCGAAACACGGGTCTTGCATGGATGAATGAGCATATAATTCAGGGTTTTCCCGCGAAATAAAATCAAGAGATTGGTTGCGTTCGGAAAATCGAACGAAAAGCGATCAGTGAGCGGTCTTTACTATTAAATCTCTAGATTTAGACCAATTATGTTGATGAATTGTTCAACTGTTGTACAACTGTTCGTGCTTTCCGAACGCAATTCTCGCGAACAGCAATTACCACGCTTTATCCGAGGATGTCCTGGAACGTCCTCAGAACGCAGGACGTCTTTGAGACGTCGCTCTGAGATCTTGATCTCCAGGATAAAGGACGTCCCCGGATAAAATGTGTTATGTGAGATCCGACTTACTGACTTGAGTAATGTTTTTTCAATTTGAAGCATTTTAAATTATGTTGAATGGACTTGGAGTCTTTCGAATTTTATAACAAATCTAGTTGTTAATTTTGAAAGTGGCTTAACTCCATTTATAGTAAGAAAACATATATTATTCACTTAATAATTGCTATTATTTTAATAGGAATTGTAAATTTAACTTTCTTCGATATACCTCAATTTAAATATAAATGGACATAGGTCACTTTCAAAATAAACGGCTCATATATGTCCGTCTCCTTCCAAATCGAAAGCGATCGGAGCGTACGAGGTCTGTCCGGAAAGTATCCGACCTTGTGCTTTGTATCCAGGTGTGCTATTGTCAACAAAAGGTGTTCACCATTTAGTGGAGACCTTCGCGAGTACTCCCACCAAACGGCACGATACAACAGCTGTTCAGTCGGTAACGATTGTTACGCTGACTGATACGTTGTGTAAACGTTGAACCTCGTATTCAATAATTTTGGTAAATTAAAGAATAATTATTGTGTGTTGCGTACGTACGTGCGTGTGTGCGTGCATAAGTGTGTGTGTGTATATATGTGTAGAATGATACGTACGATATTTGAATTTCGTGTTAGAATTGTCAGTTCCTCATCTGAATAAGTACACAGCATATTCGGACGTCTTCCAGTAGGAGAAGTTTGCGTACGGTGCGATAGCACACATCCACTCACATCCGGCTGATGCCCGGTAGAGTCCTTCCGCTGGACCAGCAATTAGGACATTTTATATTAAATTAGCTGATCACCTGTGTCGACTATCGAAGGCCCGTCCTCCCAATATCTCCTGAAAAAGCAATTCTTATTAACTATTGGAACGATAACAATATCTAATAAAACAGACACCAAACCAACACTTTTTGAATACGCGTCATTAGTTTCATTATATAGGAAATTTTTATATATAGGAAATTTTTTAACCTTTATATATAGGACATTTTTTAACGGGCGTGCCGCACGTAAGTGCATCCGTGAATCCGACGCAGGAGTCCTCTCTTCCACTATACTAACGTAGTGGATTTTCATGCGAGTTAACACGCACAAATTGTAGCTGTTATACCGAACTGTATTAGTAATATACACCGATTGATAATGAGCCATTATTCAATTTGCAGGTGGCGAAAGTAAATGAGAGAATATCGAAGAATGGAAAGTGGGATTGTGGCCGCCCATCGTTAGAAAAAGTAAATCCACCATGATGTCCATTATGTCCCGATAAACCTCCGTGTTTGCGTATAGAAAATTATGAAAATAATCAAAGTACTCAAAATAACGTTACAAACACGACAGTAACTTTACCACCTATGCTACAGTACAATAACAATACTATAACTAAATCTATTCCGAAAAATTTCCGAAAAAATAAAGGGGAGTACCGTTCAAAGAATATACATATATTTAGATCATCACGCATAGATAATATGATAAGAAACAAAATTAATAAGTCAAGTAAATTAATATTTAACTTTTATTTAAATTTTCTCATTATATTAATTTATATTTTTAATGATGATATTTATAATTAGAATAATTTTATTAAAATGTAGTGTTATAATGTTGCAGTTTCTGTAATTCGCTAAAGGCGAATATATATATATATATATATATATATATAATATTTAATATAAGTGTATTTAATATAAGTAATTATGAAATTCATTTGTTATTTTATATAATTTGCGAAACGTCTCTTTCTGTATTTATCTTAGTTCAGTTATATGTAAGTCTATGTATATTTAGTATAATATATTAAGCATATATAGTTTAATTATATATAGGTAATTTTGTATCTGTACATACAGATCTCAAATTAATCATCACATCCCCGTGATGTGCGAGTAGAACGGGTGAAATTGAGCAGAAAAATCGTGCGCCATTTTGCAAAATTCGTAATAGTTAGTGAGAAATTAATTATTTCGCCTGAGTTAATGAACACACGGGAAAAGATCGGATACTGCATAAAGAAGAATGGCTTACTTCTGAAGATCTCCTGGTGCATCATGTTTAGACGCATTATTGATCAGGCACAACAGGTTCGTTTTTGGTTCGACATAGATAGATTCGAATGTAATCGGTCAAAGAAATCATTCAATAATGCCTCCTTCCTTCCGAGAAGAATCTCTGGAGAATTGTAGTCTCTGGAGAAATGTAGATAATTGAAGGAGAATCTCTGGAGCATGTTTATCAGATGGTTCCGATGTTAGCAACTGCTAAATAGAATAAATATACGTATATATACGTTCCGAATTCAAACGATGAATAATACAAACGTTGCATGGCTATATGAACGTTAAATGACTGTAAATGACTTATATGTTACATTATTAAGATCCGTATTAATAAATGTTGTTAAGACAGTCTTATATATAAAATAAATGTATCTAAACAACTTATATTTTTTATTATTTATTTATGTCAATAAATTTTATTTCAATGTTAAATTATATTATGCCAATAAATTTTATTTCAATACTTCAAACAATTTCCAAAATTTTTTCGATGGCCTAATATATAAGGAGCAAAGTTGTAGGGCTGAAAAAAATCCAATGGTGATAAAAGTTTGACTTTAAGCGGAGCCCTGTCAAGGTCATATGAAGATCAAGTTACATTTCTTAAATAGAATCTCCTATATTTTATTTTGTATCCTTGTGACTTATTTCAAGAATTCCCCAAAACACTATATAATAAAGTATTTTTTTCGTTAAATACATTTCAAGTTATGAGGCTTGAATGTCATGGTACCGCCGGCATTAGCATTACCCAAGGTGTACCGCGTGGAGGTTGCACGGTCGGATTTACACCTCTTTTGTGTATGCATTTACGTGTGTGTATATGTCACACAGAGATAAGGTTCTACAATCGCCGAATACCGCTATGAGATGTCGAAGAAACGCAACCGATGAAGTAAAGAAAAGTATTGCTGCCTATGATAAATTGGCCAGTGTTAATTATTATTGTCTAGTAATTTTATCACTTATGATGATAGGATGATAGGATGATAGGCGGTAATACTTTTTTTCTCTTTTTGATAAGGGTGGTCCAATGAGAAGAATTCATTTTTCGAAGGTGAATCCTCTCTATTGGACTATTGGTCGCGTTCCGACAGCAACATACGACGCATTGTAGAATGCGTGATCTACAACGAGCAATAAGAGTATATTTATATAAGAAGTAAAAATACGAAGTTAACTAATTAAGTCGATTATTCTTCTTACATTCGTGATCGGTCAATTTCTCACTCTTACTTCTTACGAACGTACTCCTATCGCCCATTGTAGACTAAGCTTACATACGACGTCCAATATCCAATAAGGGAATACGTTTTTTGAGGATAAACGTGTTGCTAGCAAAGAATCTTAAGGAATGAAATCTCCTATTGGATATCGGATTGTCGTACACGTCGGATGCAATGCAAATCGTCCGTAAGTTGCGTTCTGCAAAGCGCATCATGTGCGTCATGCCGCGTATTACTGTTCGAACACGTTCCGCAAATGCACAGGATAAAGACTATTTTCCACGGAACATAATGTTAAACAAGCATTTTATTGGTTACACATCATCTTACGAGATAAGAATTAATTGAAAAAGATTGAAAATGTAATTAATAATTTAAATGCTGAAGATGAAAAAAAAAACACTTTAGGTAAGTAAATTAAAAGAAATATGTAATATACTACGCATATGAAGTGGTAAAAGCATAAACTATGTTATATTTTCTGTATACGAGGGTTGTTTGATAAGTATGGTAAACAATTAAGAAAATCGATCTTTTTCAAGACAATTTTATCTTTCAACGGCGGTGCGTTCTGACACCCGACGGTGCGACACACATGGTGTTCTTGTAGAACAGGGCTATTATTTCATAACAATTCACGAGCAACCGTATCGGATCAATACGCGTGTTGCGCAGCTTTTTCGCCCTATATTATACCTGCGCAGGAACAGCCTGGTCAACTCGGAGAATAAGGGTGCTTTCACATGCTAACTTGCGTAACTTACGTCAGCCAATTAAATCGTTTCAATTACCCAATTACCAATTACCACGGCGGATTTGATTGGCTGACGCGATTTACGTTTACGCAGCATATGAAAGCACCCCATGCACAGTGCGATAATACATATCCAATACAATCGTCGGCCGACGCCTAGTTTTTTCGTTGGACCATCAATTATAAAATTTTATATTAAATTAGCCGATCACCTGTGCAATGTCTTAAATATAAAATCTAATTGCGAATATCGACTTTTTGATTTTCAGAGCATGCTCGTTAGTCCGAATATGCAATATGCAGTGAGTAGTAAGCCTTAAGCCGTAAGAAATTGGCCAATCGCAGTCGAATTATAACAATATCAATTCGCACTGTACTTTAAACGTCTATTCGGATAAAGTTGCATGATCACGTATGCATGAGTCTTGGTCTATAATAAGTGTTTTAAGCTCTGAGCTTTAAGAAATTAACCAATCATAGTCGATTATTCACCTCACATTCGACTGTGATTAGCCAATTCCCTAAGGCTTACAGCTTAAAGCACCTTATTGTAGACCGGGACTAATTCGTCGATATAATTGGTCTAAATCAAGAGATCTAACAGTAAGGACCAATAATCCCTGACCGTTCACTGATGGCTTGTGTTTTCTGAACGCAGCCTATGGTTAAATGAGAGAGCGATATATTTTTCGAAAGCGAGTTCTCTTTGTTGAAGAATCGGCTGCGTTCCGGCACTCGATTCCGACTCGTACGATATATCGTAGACTCGAGAGCTCTCGCGTCCGCGCGAGCGGATTTAGTAACTACGTACACATGGTTGTGTACTTACCACATATTGGCAAGATGTTTCGCACTCTTATCGCACGAGGCAATCCACAGTCAATTCGGAATTCGCCTCTGACCTTCTGTGCACGCTTCCAGATATTCCGACATCCGTATGGTCAAAGTTGAACGGAAACAGCCATTAACCGATAGCCAATAACGAGGTACCCGTAGAGAATCTGTAGCGGTATCTGTAGCGGCTAAATTGCGATATTTTTGTCACTCGGCAGCTATTCCAACAGTCCTGTCTCAACTGCAAATGCACACAGCAATATAATTACATGAAATATCGACAGTTGATTTAATTTTGAGGGGAGAATTTTTGGTGCTTCGACTAAAATGAACACCCTGTAAAGTAATTTGTCAATAATTTGCAGATTGGCGGCCAGAATTGATTAGAATCCGTCGACGGATTCATAGATATTGCAAATATGCCGGGCTTCATGAGAGATGTTTGGGTAATTTCACATTAGAATGCGGACGGAAGTGTCCATTCATTAGTATTTTTGAAAAATTGTTTCTAAACACACAAATTCCACGAGCTAAAAATCGTGCAAATAGGTATATATTTGAGTGCGGTGATATTTAATACGACGGGTATAAAAGATATTTAAACGTTTTACATAATTTAAATGCCGATTTTTGAACGAACAAATTATTAATATATGCGAGGTTAATGATTTCTGAATAACGGCCAATGCGTGATAGGGAATGGTGGAAATGTTATAACTCGTCTTTATACACTGTCCGTTGTTGTCAGAAAATCGTTAACAAATTTGCGCTATTTTTAATGAAATTTCGTTGAGATTTTGCAAAGTACATCTTACCGCATCATGCATATACATTCGCTAATATTGTTCAATAAATTCTTTGATAAATATTGTGAAATTTACAAAATGGTAGTGCATTTTTCAGTTTGATCTGCTTTCTCTCTCTCTCTCTCTCTCTATCTATCTGCAAGCGTTTTGTCTTTAATTGATCACCACTTCGAACATTACAACACATTTTAGAAATACATATTAAACTTTAATAAAAGTGTCATCTCAAATTTATAATCAGTCATTTTTCCTCTCAAGTTATCGTATGTTAAGCCACTCGTACTAAACATAAGCATTATCTTAAGATTATCTTAGGATGACAGTAGTGATGACCAACAATTGATAACAACCAACAAATGATAATGATAACAAAGTAATTTTGTGCTTTTCTGTGTTCTTTGTTTGGGAGCAACTACTGGTGAAATATTTTCACTTAGATAAACGAAAAAAAGTTAGCAAGTTAAAGTTAAAAACAATTAATTTAAATTAAAAATTAACCCATTTAAAAATCAGATTAAAACGTTAGTAATTTTTTAACGACTAACTAATTATTACCGAAACTTGAATACCTGTTACCATTTCGCATGAAATTAATTGCTATAAACGTGTGTTATTGTTAAGAACTTGATTAAAAAATAATATATAAATAGAAATATATTTCATCATTATCTAACGTTGGTACAGTCACATATGAATTGTTTGCAATGGTGAGATATTTAATAAGCGGCGGGGGATCTCGAAAGGAATGCTTTCTACTCAGGATTTTCTAGAGTTCACTTTGCCAACACGCATTCACTACTACCTACATAAATGTGGGTACCTGTAAGGAAATAAATATGCATACATTATATAGTGTTGTAGGGGACATGCGGCATAACGGAATATGGTCGATAATTTTTTATAGAAGAACATTTTCAATAAAATAATAATTTCACCTTTTTAAGGCTCCTGGGTAGTCGCTGCATCTGTCCTTGTTTGATGACGTTAGAAGCGAACAAACGCATGTCAAGGATTCTTGCGTTTTACGTTCAAATAAAAAGATATACTCGCAAAATGACGTTTGCGATCGATTCAGTACACTAAAATTGTCCGTGCACTTCATTTTGCGAGTATATCTTTTTATTTGAACGTAAAACGCAAGAATTCTTGACATGCGTTTTTTCGCTTCTGACGTCATCAAACAAGAACAGATGCATCGATTACCCAGGAGCCTCAAACCATTCCTTCGCTATAAAACTCATGTTTTCCTTATAGCGAATAGTCCAATTAATATTTTGATGTAGATCCAAGTCGATTTATTTATTTTTAATATGTTTAAAACTTGTTTAAACCTTAGCGTACCTATTATGGTTTCCCTACTGTTGTAAAAATCCATATGAGGAATATTTTAGAAATCTCGAATATCCATATGGGGAATATTTTAAAAATCTCGAATATTCATTACCTGCTTTTACTAAATGCTTTATTCTCCAATTGGCAATTGCGCCCGATTAAAGAGTTTACCACAAATCTGGACAACTCTTTAATTGGCATAACTGCCAGTTAGAGAAATAGTTGGAGAAACGTTGAATAATCCTCTCCATATTTCACTGCATCACTTGTACTACCTCCTGTAGTAAACAAGCCTTCTACTGGATATTCTGCTATACAAGTGGCCTGCTTGTGCTGTCAGTCTTGTGTCATCAGTCTTATACCTATATTTACATTAGAAATTTAACAAGTGATTTTGTGAACATTTCTAACACATAATTACAGCCTTTAAATATCTTACAGTTCGTCCACTAAGTTTCGGGATGGATTTAATATGTATGAATCTTCGCCGTATAAAAATGTCACCGAATCCCCATCATGACTTCCAATTATATCAACGTAGTATTTCTCGCGACTTTGTGCTGAAAAATTATTAGAATTATATGTATAAAGTGATGATATATTAAAAATACGTTGGAAAATAATAAAATGTTAAATAATTGCAAGAAGCTGTTCATGTAATTGTAAGACAATTGTTGTTAACCAACAACGATTTATTCAGTAAAATAAGAAGAAACTTCCTTGCGTAAAGTAAGAAGAATGTTCCTTACATAATGTGTATACGGAATGTGTAAATCTTTTCTTCGTATTCGTGGTGTGCAAATAGAACGAGCGAAACTGAACAGAGAGGGGGAACGGGTTCCGGATCCCGAGGAAGCTTCACACAGCCCTGTATACAAGTTGCCCCGAATCAATACGGACAAAACTCGTGGGAGTAGGACGGATCGGGGTGAACAAAAAAGTTCCATTTTGCGAAAAAGCACCGTTTTGCGAATATTCGGAATAGTTAATCCTCGGACGAACAAGACTCGCGTGAATCCGGTTCGACCCGTACAAGTATTTTGTGGAGTTTCGACTAATTTTCCTGACATTTAGGCATTTTCTATTCCCGCATTAAGTTAGAAAATATTTGAAAATAAATCGAATATATCGCGAAATATGTAAGATACCTGAATATAACGCTTTAAAAGCTTTGTCCGCGGAAGCATTAGAATACGGATCCGATCGGATCGGACCAGTCTTGTCTGGGAGTTAATGAGGATTTAATTCATCTGTGTGAGATAATGAACGCACGGGAAACGGTAGACCGGAATATCTATAAGGAGAAATGGCTCGCTTCTGAAAATCAGCAACGGCGAGAGGCGTGTTTCTTTCTGGGGCGTAGCTGCGTCATATGCCGCTCGTTGCTCGCTGTTGCTACGCGGAAATTGATGCTCATCGTTGCCGGGACATCTTCAGAAATAAGCCATTTTTCTTTATAAAACATTCACAGCCCACCGCTGTCCGTGCGCTCATTAGCTCGTGCGCAGATTAATTCTTCATTAACTGTCGCGAATTTTGCCAAATAGTACGTGATTTTTCTGCGTGCAGGTGGAACGGATCTCAAGAACGTATGAATCTCAAGAAAGGACGGATTCCATTGTGTCTGATGATAATATTAAATATACCGCATTCGTAACCCCCGCGATAATACATGAAGATGCCTTTCGGACTAAAAAATACACATTTCCGAGATTATTTTCACGCGTACAGCAGAAAGTTCTGATTTCTGACACCCTGTAATAAACTTTTCGGACACCCTATATAACTCATTATACAGAATAAAGAATTCAACGTTAGAAAGTGTATCTCTGTTACTTCTGAAGATACTAGAAAATATCTCCGAAGAAGAATGTTTGGCGTCGAACGGATAAATAATATAGTGACAAATATTTTTCTCTCAAGGCGTTTGTTTTTTGGCGTTCGTTTATTGGCCGACGATAAAGTACGTGGCTGTCGCGTAAGACTCACGATTCGGCAGCGATTCTTTTTTCAGAGTCTCGAGGGGCCAAAAAGCCCGTTCTCACTCGCGAGCCGGTTAACGCGTTATTTTATCTTTGCCCCGCATTAGATATGCGAAAAAAATAAAATGACTGCGTTCAGCAGGGAAAGGGCAGTTTAGCAAGCTCCTTGCTCGCTGCCAGCGGCTCAGCAACTGTTGTAAACCTGTTTTCCGCCGAACGACACCAGGCGACTTTAAACTTTTCCAACACGTTTGTTAATGGTGATCACCATTTTGCCCAGCATATTTCTATACGACACGCCGGACCGCTTAGTAAACGTGTTGGAGCAGCGTAAATTGCTAAAATGTCGTTCAGCAGAAAATCTTACAACAGCAGCAAAACGCAGCGGAAAATATTTAATAGCTGCTTTTCCTGCTAAACGCATCTATTGACTTGTAACGTGATCAGCGCTACACACACACACACACGCGCGCGCGCACACACGCAACACACATTATTCTCCGCGTGGAATCTAAACCGTGACCTGATTTCTCATTCGTTCGATCGGTCATTCTCGCACCCCATTGGTCGGTAGCAACGCTTCGCGCAATTCGCTTATCGCAACTCGCACACATATACGTCTACCGCTCTCTCTCCTTCGTAATATCCGTTTCGAGACTCATTCCTCGTTTGTCTTTCTCTCTTTTCTCCGAATTTTAATTTCGGCCAGCCTGACGCATCCACGGCGTCGACTGTAAAAAAAAAAGCGTAACATTCCAGATACGTAAGATTTCAAACCTTAAACTAACTCGGTTATCTTTCCTTTTAATTTGCAATATGCATCTAATCTAGGAAGCAACACTAAGTAATTTCAACGCAGTATAAATGAGCAAAGCACACATATTTTATCGCTATTGTAATATTAATGTTCCTTTATGATGTTAATACGGCTATATGGAAGGAGAAATGCTTATAATGTTAATACAGTTTAACATTAATAAAAGAATAAAATGTCCAGCGTGTCAAATGTACGCACGTACACGGCACGTGCGCTAACAATTTGAATTAAATCTTTGGAGAACTGCATTTAAATATATTGTTTTCGGTGAATTATTGACACAATCTGACCCTTTCTTCAGTCATTTTTTTTTTATCCAGTCAGAATCGCTCATCATTTTTTCTAGTCAGGACTTAAACATTCCTCTCATTCCGCTATCGCGCGCCAGAACTTTAATTTCGCGGCTTCCCACCTACGCTGATACGACTTTTGTGATATTTGACAATCTTTAGCCTTCCATTATAACGTATCTAACATTTCTTAACCTGGGAATAGTCACCTGGGATTATTTCAGATCCCAGTAGTCAGAAAATGAAGCTCACGTCGCAGTAGTTTTTTTCACCGAATCAGGAACCCACAACTAGCTTTCATTTGAACATTTAGAGACCTGATCTATGTAACAAGAACCGGCTGTAATTCGTCTTATTCACAGTATAAGCCTGTAAAAACTCGTTGAGGTACAAAACAAGGTAATCGTTCATGTTACAAAATTAGTCAAGCATGGTAAGAATTTGTGTTATGAATACAAGACAATAATAAGTTTGAATGAGATTACGTATATTCGTACTCAGAAACTATGAAGTAACATTTACATCTGAAACTGATTGATAAAAATGTCCAGAAAAGTAGACACAGGTGCAACTATTAAATATTTAATTATTTTTATTTAAATATTTGTTATTTACAATCAACATATATAATTAACATTAATATTCATCACAGTGTGATGAATATTTTAAATTAATGTATTTTAAATTAACCGTCTTATAACTCGATACAGTTCTTTATATTATGAAACTAATTTGCCATCCGTAACAGTATCGTAATTTTTTCCTTTCGTAATTATATATCATTCTTCGCGTATTCGCGTGCCATCTTCCATTTGTTATTTATATAATTCTCATTTATACTGCTGCGATTTTTCGATCTTTTCCGCCACTTTCGCTCTTACTTTGTCGATTTTCTCTTTAGATATCCGTTCGGCCTGAAACATATTCCCTCTGGCCGCGTCAATAATTGTCTTTGCTGCTCGACTCCAACATTAATCTGCTTAGTGTTTCTCCCGTGATTCTATTCACAGTGTCATTTGTATGGAATTCAATTTCATGTAACAATTTCTACCAATATTTATCGCTGCGTAATTTTCCTAAAGCAGTTACCGAGACTATTGCAACGTTCTGCATGACTGTTCGCTTGCGGCGAACCTGTAGTGATTTTAATATGCTCATTTCGGGCATAAATTCTGCGAACTCATTAGAAATAAAATTCATACCTCGGTCGAAAATCAGAACTTTCTCAGTTTCCCACTCATTTTACAAATTTCAAGATTACGAAATCATTGTGTTCTTTCAGAGAGAATTAAAAAAATAAAGCTACATGCTGCAAAAAATTTACTGCGTGTAATTTCTCGTCTATAACGTCACAAAACCAATATGAAACGGAGGGAACCGAGCTTTAAATCCACGAGTATCAATGCGACAAATAAAAAAAGGAACAAGGCGTACCTAAATCTACAGCGAATTGTGTGCTCAAGGCTTATAACTTCCATCCACATTCACCTAACCCAGCAATTGGAAGAGGGGGAATTTCCAACGCCGAGGGGGATTTCTAAATCCAACAACTTTTGTAAAGAATATATGTTTTTATCTGACCATTTCCTACGAACAGGGGTGGTCAATTAACACTTTCACAACCGCATGTTAGCGCAGTGAAACGTCGCCAGTGGCCGGCAATATTTTGGAAGAAAAAACTTTACGTAAATTCATGAAACAATTAACATTATTATTATAAATCAATAATCAACATTATTATACAACAATATTCTTTAGTAGTCAGATTCCAGATTCTTTAGTAGTCAAAAAGTTTTGCGTAATAAAATTTTGCATCATTTAAGTATCTGACGTGCTAAGAAAAGTTTTGCAAGTGGCTTGCCACTGGTACCACGTGGGAGTCACCGGCAAATAGCGACTGGCCTATCAATGGTACCACGTGAGTGTCACCGGCAAATAACGACTGGCCTACCAATGACACCACATGAGTGTCACCGGCATACAACGACTGGCCTGCCCATGACACCACATTAGTGTCAGCGGTTGTAAAAGTGTTAAAATGGAACACCTCGTATATATAATAACATTATAGTTGTTCTCGAGTATATTCTAACAGAGAGTCGATCCTCGTATGTCGTCGATTGTTGTCTTTTGGATCTCCACTCAAAGATTCACCTCACTTGAACCTCACTTAAATGCAAAGACACCGAATTAACTTGTACACTTGATAATAAATAAATAAGGGCAGGAGATAAAAGTTTAACTGCTTTCATTGACACGGGCGGCGATTTAGCGTTAATGCGCGCGGAACAATATATTAAACTAGAATAGCTCGAGTTGATTAGAAAAGAAATTAAATCTCGCGGAGTCAGTTTACAAAGTAATGCGACACTAGGAGAGTTTGATGACGCGAGTATCACGATCGACGGTAATACCTATTCGATTACATGTGATTTCTGACACGTTAACCCTCAAATAACACGATTAGTTGA